CTCTTTATAGCAACGGTAAACTGCACAATGTCTCCAGCTCACAGTGAGAGCAGATTCCAAACCACTCCTCTTCTCTCAACAAGACAATGACGTGGGAGAAAGAAAGGACAAGAAAAGCAGAAAGAAGGGGTTAGTTAAGGTGAGAATGTGAATATATGTATTCATACATAGAGAGAGATCAAATAGAGGGAAAAAGGAAGAGACTCCTGCAGTGGGCTGAAGAAAGTATAGAGTCTGCCAGTAGGTGTTCAGATACAGAGAGAAAAGAAGCATCTCGAAACACAGTGTAGAAGGACAGCATTTGCAAGGGAAAAACAGTTAAATAAGGATTAACAGAGGCCCCAGGTAAGTTTTATTACTATCATTATTATTTCAAGCAGTCAGAGAGGTATACATGAACATTTCTAAATAATAAACACGTTACAGTTGATTGTTTTCTCTTTCAGTCATTCTAACCATAATGTTACTACATTGTTTCCTGGTTTGTTATCACATGACAGCAATCGTCAGAAATTTACTTCATAGCAGAATTATTTTACTTATTCGTTCATTTATTTTTTAAATTACAGTGACACAATGTATTTTTCTTTGTACAGATAACACATAGATTATTATAGGTATAGATCCTAAAAAATTGTCATTCTCACCTCTCAGCCCATTTGTTGTCTCAGCCATGAACCTGAGCTTGATGCTTTCCTTGTTTTTCCTCACTCATCCTTACTCGGCCATGGTAAGTTTTTTAAAAGCCAACTGCACACAACAGGAATTATGTTTTATTTGCAAGTATACTGAATATGCATTCACACCGAGTGACTGTTTTATTTTATCAGAGATTTCTTCATTAGTATATTTGCAACTTCAACTTTCATTTGCTTGCTCTTCTAGTCGCCGAGGTTGGTTTGTTACAGTGATAAAAAGAAAAATTCCAGAGTTATGGAAGTGTGGCCTCAGTATGTTTTTTCACCTGTTTTGCATTTGATCTGGGAAGACTTTAGGGGCAGATGTGGACCTGGCACAGACTACAAAGCTTCTGAATATCCAAAATATGATTTAGATTTTGAATGTTGATATTAAACCTGTAAGTTTCCAATGAAAGTCTTACTAATACCAGTGTTAAGGACATAACTTTCAAGCCTGTGCAATGACATAAAATTGATAATGTTCTCATGTTATATTAAAGAGTATACTGTCCATCAATTTTCAGAAATATGCGACTGCGTGTGTTGTTTTAGGGTGGTAGAGCTCAGCGTAGACAGAGACAAGCTGAGGAGAGCCTGAGACCGTATATTGGCCGAGTTGAGCCAGGTAAGAGCTCTTCAAAGTGTCATGGCACTTTGTAAAATTAGATCTATAATTGCTAAGTTCTTATGAAACTGAACAGTCAGTTCAGTTCACTGTTTGTGTGGAAAAACAGATGATTGTTGTACTAATTTCAACATTTTAGTTTCATCGCAATTTGTAACTATGCTTTTGTAGTACAGAATGTTTTAAATATTAGATTTTCATCTTTTTTCCTGTTGACATGAGTTCAGCTTTTTTTGTTTGCCTGTTATTTTTATTCTCATACTTACACGCCTTCTAAATGCACACTACAGTCTTGTTTTTTTTTTCACAAAATGTCAGTAAATATATCTACAGTTCTGTGTTATTCTGTCATATCATCTTTTCTGTTACTAATACCTTTAAGTTCAACAGATCATTGTTGAAAAAAGACAATGAAGTCAAATTATTTCAAATGTAAAATTATTATTTTTTACTGTTACAGAAACACTTTGTGAGCTACTGAAATGCCACAGTCCAGTGGGTTCCTGGTGTCAGGTAGTTGAAGAGAAAGGAATCCCTGTCCCCAAATGTATTTGTCCTCAGTCATGTCCACGGTAAACATCATCTATTGAAACTGATTAACAGTCCTGCTGATATTTTGTTTTTAATTTCTTGAGTTGTAGGTTTATCAAAAATCCATATCTTACAGACAGTTTTTTCTCATTTTTTTATAGTTAATTCTCATGTATGCATTTGCAATCATGTCAGATTTTAAACATGAAACAGTTTATTTTCATCTTCTCACATACGTTTTGGCTTACTTGCACTGACTCATGCAATCAGGCAGAGGGCACCAGTGTGCAGTGTTGTAGGAAAGACCTATGGGAATGAATGTTTGCTTCACAAAGAGGCCTGCAGAAAGAGACGCCGCATCAGTCTGGCTCACTCAGGGCCCTGTCTGGGTACAACTACCAACATTACACATTCAACATGACAAAAAAATTACAACCGTGCACTGCAGCTTTTTATATGAACTCTATTATTTATCATGAGCAGTCCCCAAATCTGAATGCACTGAGGAGGAGCTTGGCCAGTTTCCATATCGTCTCATGGACTGGTTTCTGCTGCTGAGTCGCATGGGGAAGTCCTACACACCTGCAGCTCTTCCCCAGACCTGCCTCAGCCACACCCAGAGGACACAGCTTGCAAAGGTCAGACTTCGTGTGTGAAATGTTACAGACAGAAGAAGGAAATCACTGTAAACTATCAATTATGATCAATGATGACCTCACTTAAAGATGAACCGAATGATATCAATATCCCTTAGAAAATGTAATACTAAATAGACCACACCCAGAAGAAGACAGCGGTATACCAACAGATTACTTTCCCCCTCACTGTAACCTTACCCTGAACATAAAGTTGTTTTTAACACCAGATAACATCATAAAGCTTTTATCAACAAAGTGTATGTGGCCAGATCGTATGTTGCTTTGTGGTATAGCTGTTCACAAACTGAAAAAGAAGCTCTCAAGTACACCACATATAAATAAAACTTGGTCAATATTCTCTAAATTATTCAGTAAGATGGTGAGGAGAAGTAACTTGACAACTTCTCACCAGTAAGCCTGACCTCAGATCATTTGAATAATAGCTTGTGCAATATTTTGATGACATGAAAACATATACCTTGTTTTTAAAAATGTGCACTTTTACATTTCCAGTTCTTACAACATATTTATATGTTCTAAATGTAGTTATTATTGACAAGCATGTTGTTGTATTATAGTTTGAAAGCAGAAATAAAAACTTAAAACATTATAATCATTTTACCCAATCAGCTACTTTTGTGGCAGGACATGTTTAACAAAATGAAAGACTGGCCAACAGTGTTCCCTGGAGCCATGCTGCTAACATGGCTAGCATTATGTTTTATTCTGTTTTAAATATTAAAACATTAAATTATGAAATAAATAGAAACATGTATCTCACTCATTCTCCTACTTCAGCAAAGATTCACATTATTGGACAAGAACAAAGATGGCAAGTTGAGCCGTAGGGACCTGAGGAAGCTACATTATAAGAGGATGCCTTTGGAGCACTGTGCTACATCATTCTTCAGGTTAGTTCTGCTTCTATCAGTAAACACTGAGGATCTAACAATGAATAAATGATTCTCACATTTTTTGTGTTCTGCGTATTTACCCAATTCAGTCAAATTATCAAGGCTTTATCTATAAATAGATCAATAAAGTGACAGAGATCAGTTTCAGTTGTGTTCATGGCATTGACATCTCATATCATGCAGAGGTTCATGGTGTAAGCCTTCTGTCTCTTGCAATATGTTATCCTTCAGCTAATTACTGCATTGGTGAAAACCCAAGGGTTAAAAATGTCACACCACAATGCCTTTCGCCCTCGCTCTGATCAAATTGCACCTCCCACCATGCTGTTCTCTCTGCATGCCACTTATCCATCCATCTTCCATGCCAGTCCAGGCTTTCTGCGTCCCTTCTCCCTTCCAGTCTCATTTGACAAAACCGTCTCTCAATTAATATCCTCGTCCCTGAAACATTTCTGCTCCCTACCCATCATTCCATTTCACTTAATCTCTCTTTCTGTCCAATCCCTTCTTTTTCACTCTTCTGTCAGTCTTTTATCATTCCATTTCCTCTATTTTTTCTCCATTTCTTTCACCCAGTGTCCCGCCCCCCATTTCTCTGCCGATCTGCAGTGACAGGTTTTGCAGAATAAAAAGCTGTCTGTGTCAATGTCAAGCCATTCCAAGCAATGATAATGTTTATTACCCACTGTGTCCCCCACTGCCCATGGATTAACACAAATTGAAGAAGTACCCTTCAGAGATGCCTCAGCATGGTGAACTGAGAGATAATGTGTGCTGTGGAGGCTCATTTCAGTTTGTCTCGCTCCAATAGGTCTTATTCTATTTTATTTTTTAACATAAATTTGAGGTATATTTCCTATTTTTCTGTTGTTTCAATCAGCTGATGTTCTGTTCTGTGCTTGCAGGTCGTGTGATTATAACAGGAATAAAAAGGTGACCCTGAAAGAATGGACAACCTGCTTGGTGGATCGTTCCGAGACTTGGTTTCATCATTTCATGTGTTAGTCACCACTTTTTCATAAGTTTAAATATGACTGATTCTGCTGTTTAAAAAAAAAAAGACCTATTAGAAACTACATTTAGGTTGTGGGAAAATATTGCAACTCAATATGAAGAAATTATTGAAGGTTGTGAACATGAACTTGTCAAATAATATTGAAAATGACAGCCAAAACTGAAATCAGACAGCCAAATTTGGACTTCATTCTAAAAAGAAACCATTTGTCTTTCAAGTATTTAAAGATGGACAGAGTACAAAAGAGGAGTTTGTTTAATTAATATGTTCAATATCTTACTTCTTGGCTGCACCTTCCAGAACTTAATCATAAAAGTAATTATTTTAGACTAGTCCTAAAAATTTTTTTTTAAATGTTATGGCTCAGTTTAGCTAATTGTCTCTTGTAATTTGGGATTTTATTATTGCAAGCACACGCCTTTTGAAAATAAAGATAATTTGTTTCTATAATTTGTTTCTCCACAGCTGTGAAAATGGGGTCCAGCAAGCTGTGTGCTTCGATCAAAGAGAACGATGAGAAGCAGCCCTGAACTCCAACTCTCTCTAACACATAGATTATCATACTGGATTTAAAAACTACAGGATCTACACTTACAGCTCGTTTATCTGTTTCACGCTTTGTGATATGGTGATTTATGACATCATCAAAACTGAGCATTCACTCATTGTTCTCTGTGCAATCACATGCCAGTTTAAACAAGAAAAATAATTGTCTGAAAAGAATGATTGCGAGTTGCATTTACTGCTAATTACATTTGCTGACATTTATGAAATTATGTTGTAAAGGACGAGGGACAGTAGGCTATATTGAAATCAAATTATCATGGTATAGCAATGAATAACCAATTAACAGGGAGAATGGCAGCAGTGCAGACAAACAGCATGATGTAGGCCGACAGAGATTGACCAGATAGATGGGAAAGGAAGATATGGAGAGAAGAAATGCTTACTGTGAGATGACGTGACCAGGGAAGAGACAAAGGGATTGTAAAAGGGTGAAGCCAAGAAGTAGCTAAGTGTTATAATTCAATGGAGGAGAGTGAAGGAGGAAAAGAAAAGGAGGCTGAAGGAAGGAGATTGAAAGTGTGTTTTTGAAAGATGGGAAGAGGTAATGCACTGTAAATGGGAGTTGAGAGTAATGGAGTAATGCATAAAAAATGGATCAGAAATAAGGAAAAGCCTGAGAATAGAGAGTGATGGGGGAAGGGACGACTGAGGAGGCAGGGGGAACTTAGAGAAGAGGAAACGCATCAAAATGCTGCAAAACATTTCCTTTGCTGTCAGACTGTTCTGTAAATAGCATCACGGAGTATGATGCAGAATATTTCAAACACCTGACCTCTATCAAAGTATAAAATACTTACATAACCAAAGCTTGCTGACTGTTTTTATGTGTGTGTGTGCCATCTATAAAACATACTGCTCTGAAAACTTTTGTTACTTCTTGTTTTTTTTTTCTGTGCTGAGAGAACTTTTGTAAGGTTGAAATGATGTTATTGCTTCTTCATCCTAAGGAGGATGAGTGTGGCCTGCAGTGGACTCCTCAGCTTGACTGGTTTTTCCAGACTAATTAGCTCTCAAATTTACCATGCCTGAAGGATGAAGGGAGAAAGAAAGACCCTGGAAGGAGGAGAGATAACAGTGGTCTATATGAAATGCAGATTCAGTTTGCACACGAGGCACATAAGGAGACATATCTTATTTTGATATGAATATCAAAATAAGATGTTTTTATTCCATCAGACTTTCCCCCGAAAACTTTTGATTAAGTCGAGCAGACCACTGGAGGGATGCAGTTTACTTTGGAATGCATTGAGAAAAACAAGTCTAAACCCAAAGGAAAAAGAAGAAGGAGACACGAAGAAATGATAAAAGAATATAGATTAAGTTTACTATTGAGGCAAGACTATATTTACTAATGATGAGTGACCAGCGGAACGGCTAGAAGTTGGTCCGAATCAAGTCCCTCCCCATTTCTTTCACTGAAAAACCTCTTTCTCCAATCGGTTTCTTCTCATCCACCCACTAGTTCATTTAACCAGACAGAAATAAACCAAATTAATTGTTGGGCCCTCCCCCGGTGCAGTATAGCCTTCTTCTCATCACTGTTCTCTGTTTTGTGTCCTCATACCCCCTCTACTTATAGATTCCCTCTTATTTCCTCTGGAACTCCACCTCCTTCCATCCCCCATCCAAACACCGAAAGGGCAGCTGTAGATTGACCCAACTAATCCTCCTTCATGTCACATACACAACCCACACCCATTCACCTTGGATATTAGAAGAGTGAGATGTTTGTGTGCTGCCTGCCTCTCTAAACCCGGCTTTTCCTTGCTCGTTGTTTGGGTGCTGATCAGTAATATGGCCTGTGATGGGCTTCAATGCATCTCCCTCATCTTTAGCACACATTTACACACATGCACACACCCCCAAGGGACTCTGATAGCAGAGGAGCAGATGGATGAATGGTGATGACATGTTGTTAAGTGTAAAGATTCCTGTTAACCAGTTGTCAGCTTGCACGTCCTACATGATGTCCCTATACTTAATTTCCTCTCTTTCTGCGAGTCTTTTTCCATCTTTTCACACTATAAAATCCTCCGTTCTTCTTTTAATTTTTTCTTTAACATGCAACATAGTCTGTGTGGTGCATCCCCAACCCGTTCAAAATGATTTCTCATACATGGCTGTCATAGAGACGACATCTTGAATTATGCATGGCTCGTAAGTTTGAATCAATAATAAATGAAAAGACCCATGTTTTTCCATACAATTATACAAAAAAAACTCTCACTTTCTGCTAATGTTTCAGAGAATGGAATTCCCTGTGTCTGTATATTGAAAAGATATTGAATACAACTTAAAGTTATCAAAACACTTCTCATTCACAAACTTATTTATGAATAGTAATCTCTCAAAGGTTAATTACATACCGGGCTTCAAAGACAGCCACCATATCACACTCTGCCAGACTACCAAGTCTGAGAACTTGTTGAGAGTGCAAAGTGGGGCACATATGGGTAGTAATAGAACTTGAAAGACTTCAAGAAAGTCCGTTGGTGGAAAGGCCTTCACTCCCCCCAAAAAAATCCCAGATATTTATTAATAGCGCTCATGTGCCACATTTTTGTATTCTTCTTTGAAGTAATGGTGCAGGGTAAAAGAGGCAGTAAGAAGAAGGGAGAGTGGGGGGGCGGTGGTCTCTGAAATTCACAACTGTGGTCAGACAATATTCCCTCAGGGTGGAGTGGGTCCCATTCAGAGTGACCTCAATAGCCCAACACTGAAGTGCGAAGTGAAAGAGTGAGAAAAGGCCCCATCAGAAAATGGAAAAGGGGGAGTTAGCTCACAGCTCTTTTTATTTTCCTGATGATATTGATTAAAGAGCTCAGGAGAGCGAGCAGGTTACATGAAGCCCACCATTGTGTGGAGATGAGAGGGTGGGGCTGGGGAACTACTTCTGTGAATGCCTCCAGTCCTCTGAGATCTGCACTTGATCTGTGGGTCGGAGACAAATAGCCTTTAATATGGCTGTCCAGTTTACAGACTTCACATGTCTCTGTCCAATAAGATAAGACAGCTGTGCATGCAACATTCATTTTAGCTTCATGGAATAAAGAATTTGTTTTTTTTAAACTTCTGCTGAAAATAACATTATGCTTTCACTTCTTTTTTTTTTTAAATCTGTCGTCTTCAAACATTTCGATGCGATTACTGAATATTTAAAGTATAAAGAATAACCAGGAGCTGGTACAGTGAGACGAAAACAACAAAAAAAATGTGTATGTGTAGGTCACTCGCGCTTCCTCTCATCATCCAAAACATTGATGTTGAGTGCTCATGGTCTGCGTGTTGTTCAGTAGGTAGCCCTGTGCTGTTTTGGAAACCCTGTTTCTCACCATATTACAGCTTGGAAAATCTCCATCTCTCCTTCAATCCTAGTTTGGAATAAGGGGGCTACAGAAATCAAGTAAATTTAGTAATTCAAAACCAAGACCCATAGTTACCCAATGTCCAAAACAGCAGATTTATTTTCCAATGGTTCAGTCTTTCTGGCCATCTACAGCATCTGATGAGTATATCATTGTTCTTTTGGGTTCACCTCAAATACACCTGTCGCCTATTAATGTGTTAAATGAATACCTGTCTAAGATAAGTTGGTCCATCCATTAGGTGAGTCCATCAGCAAAACATTTGCATTTACATTTGACAGACATTTTTATCCATAGGGACTTTTATACTAGATTACTTGAATCTTTTACAACATCAAGAGTCTCATTGAGGAAAAGAGCGAATCTTCAGTTTGTTTAAGGGCAGCTCAAAGTATGTGAATGGTTCAGGATCTGATCTTCCACTGAAAAATATACTTTATACCTAACAGTCCACACATGCAGTCTTTTTTGCATGAAGTTATTCAATCAAATTTTTATTCCTTAACAAGACTTTGATGTGCGGTTGCAAAAAATGAACCTTTTAAACTCTTCAATGGTCGAATGGTTTGAGTAATTGTGCCATTTATCTGTTAGGAGCATGTCCAGAAACTTTAACTTTCTCTGCACTAAATATTTGCATGAATCAATCAAAAGGCTGATGGCATTTAATTAATATTCAATTACGACCCCTGAAAGGCCGACTGAACAAGAAATGGGGGCAGAGAGGCATTGCAACCTCTACCATGTTCTCTGCTATCAGAGCAGCCTGAGATTGATGTACCATGAATGGACTTAACTTTTATGTGTAACCTTTCCCCAGCACCGCTCCTGACACGCTCTTTTCTTTTTCTCATCACCTCCCCCATTCACCGAACTCACCGTCAGCCCCCTCACACTCACCCACTCGCTCCCTCACTCTCAGATTGAACGTACAGATACACAAACACACAGTCACACTTGAGCCCATTTGAATTGCAAGTGAGCTCTGTTCACCACCAGGAGGAGGTGGGAACAAGTGAAAATAACCGGAGGGAGGGAAAATGAGAAGAGAAGACAGGATTCAGGCTTCACTGACCGGATGACTTTCGCACAGTGTTTATTAGGACAAGCTTCCACGTGTGAAGGACTAGGAGACATAGTGAGGAAGGCACCTGGGGAACCTTGCACCACACCAGGGCACAAAGGAGCTGGGACAGCCCTGAGGGGACACCTGAGCTGGGAAAGGACACCTCATCAAGTACAGGAGTGAGCAACACCTCACAGGAGACGGAGTCAGAGGAACACCCGACAACAACCTGCTGTCGCTCCTCCTCTCCTACCATTCCCCCTCCTCCATCTCCATCCTCTCTCCGTCTCTCATTTGATCCCATCCCTCACTCCCTGCATCACAGAGGGAGAACGTGCACTGAGAGAAGGTAAGCAGGATGCATGCATACACGTTGTCCTTGTAGAGTGTGTTTGTGTGTGAGAGAAAGAGAGAGAGTGTATCAAATTTCTACTGAGTAAGTCAGCAACTTGTTTCTTTGAATCAGTTGTTTTTGTGGGAGTGGTTGTGTGGTCTCTGGAGGACATGGATGCGGGGCACTGTTACAATGTTTTTGTCTTGGGAAAAAACACAGTTTTTCTATTTAGGACTTGAGGCCATGAGTTTTCTGTTTTTGCTGCAAGAATTATGACATTTGTTCAACAAAAAAGTGACACTGAGAGGTAGGAATGTGGTCAAAGACAATGAGCAGGCAGAATGAATCACAAAAAACACTAGCATAACACTGAATTAAAAGAGTTAAAGCAACAATGCGTAAGGCAAGGAGATTGAGAGGTGCAGACACAAAGGGACAGTGAGAAGTATCAAGGAAAGGACAAGGGCTTATATAGTCAAATATACATACAACAGAAAATAAGGCATGAAATCCTATCTAGTTCCTCGGTCAATACGTGTTACTCCATCGCCATCTCATCAACCCCCACCATGAATCACAGGTCATTTCTTTGCCCGTTGTACAATTTTTGGGGGGGTGGACAACGGATCCAGCAGAGACCACCCCACGCCATTTAATCTGTCCCTGCCCACAGATAACAGAAGGCAGATGGTCCTGCCAGAGCCTAGGGAGATAGAAGATAGCGTATACAATGTGCAGAAAGATAGCACACAGCAGTCAACCTGTCCCACTGAAACTGAGCCTGCATGAACTTCCAAATAAGGGGACCAAAGGAGGCGAGAAGCAAGAAGAAAACGAGGGGCACAAAGAGACCGATAAGGGCAACGAAGCAGACCTTGAGTTAATTAGGACCCAGACACAGCATCTCAAATAAAAGCAGTCATTTGAGAGACAGGGATAAACATAATAAAGAGAGGAAACTCATAAAAAAGAAGCTAGCAGAGCACAGAGTGAGTGGGACCATCAAAGTCAGGAGCTCCTGTGTTTAAAGTGAAGTGTGTGTGTTTATTTATAGAGGGCGGTAGTTAAGTTCACCAAGCTCCCTCTCTGTGTACGACCCAGCCTTTTCTCCTTATGAAAATTCAATTGGCCATAATTTGCTGAGGAGCCGTATGCATATTTTATCAGCAGGCGCGTTTTGAAGAAACAAGCCCGCCAAGCTTTTTGGTGTCTTCATCTTTATCGAGACTGACTGAGTAAGTGTGTGTGAGAGGAGCTGTGAGGTTGCTAAACCGTCTGGTTATGTGCTGCACACTGGACAAGTAAACTCCAATCAGCACTTTATGTCTGGATAAAACTCAGAAACGGATTCACTGAGGGCTTGGTGCACTGTAAAGATGTTTTTCTTCTCAGATTCCACTTTCTCTGCTTTGCTTCTCTCTGTCTTCTCCCTCTAATTACTCCAGCATTCTCCTCTCCTTTTTCTCCGTTTCCACGATGCTCTCCCTCCCTCAGCCTCCCCTTCCCGTCTCAGTCTGTTTTTTCTCCCGCTGCATGACTCTCAGTTAAAGCTTTTTATGGGTCGTTCACTCCCCTCTCTCTGTGTAAGGATAATGAGCAAGCGCCTCTGTGCGACTTTGTAGCCGAGCGACTGTTTGTCGGTTTGAAACTCTGAGCGTCCCAGGGCCCAAAAGTCTCTGATGTACCTTTTGTAGCTGCCTCCATGGTTCCGCTGTGATTGTGATCTGATCTATAGGGCACCGCACTGACATAATACACCTTGTTAGGTGAAGGGAGGAGGTTTGTGAAGACTCTCTGACTTTGAACAAATGTGTTTCGCTGGGGAGACGATAGAACAGTGAGACCTGTAATTATCCACTATCAGTGAATCACAACCACACACACAATAGCACACTCACACAAAGATATGCACGTAGAAAAAGATGGTGGAACCCTGACAGAGCAAGAGAAAAAATGAAGACAAAAACTGTGGGGTTGGCTTCATTAAAGCACCTCCAGGTGTCCAAAGGGCAGCACATCACTTTGGTATCCCTTTTCCTTATAAAGTGTCTGCTAATACCAGTCATGATATATATTTGGAGAATAAACTCATTTGAACCCACCAACTAAAAATAGAAATGTAGATTTAAAAGCGTTGACTTCAGAGCTGTATTTGCAGCCCACTTCACACTTTGAAAAGTGGGTGATTTTTTTACAGTGAGTGTCAAGCTGTGCTATGCACACATTTCACAGTAATATAGCACTGCAATTACTTATTCTTGACATGAATAATTCTGTCTGAATAAGAGAGGATGTTTCCTCATATCAATGAATCATCAGCCAGCAAAACTCTTCCATGTGTCTTTAAGTGTGTTTGAGCGCTCTACTCTGCGCTGTGTGTTGTTGGTGGGCTCTGATCGATGCTGACAAACTTTTTGCTGTTTCTTTTAGAGTCTGAGAGATATCCACAACCTAGTGACAGAAAAGAGTTGGATAAAGTACGGAGGGGAAGCGATGGCCCTCATGCCGCTGTCCTGGTGGCTGGGTGCAGCTTTGACTCTGGTCTGTGGCTCTTCTTGGCCCGAAGTGAATTCGGCCCTGGCACCTGAGAATGAAGTTCCTCTTCGCCCAACTACATGGTTGACAGAGGGAAAGATCACCTCTGTAACACTTCGTAAAGGAAAAACTCGCAGGTAATGCACAACGTAATTTGGCTTTGTGGCTGATTGACACTGTGAGCGCAGTAACAGTATTCCAAACCGTAATCATGTTTTCATGTTTTCATATTATAGAAAAAGCAGCACCAAGGTGGTAAGATTACAGCAAGTAGCGGTGTTACCATCAAATATTAATTTGGTAAAGAACTAAATGTTTTGCATCAAAATTCTATTACAGTCAAATTTCTCATTGTGCAGATTGTCGTCTTTGTGATTTATGAAACACAGTATCAGTTCAGGGAAAATGATAGAGAAACAAATACTTTGTTGAAGAAAATTCTGTTATATATATATAAATAAAGCAAAAAATGTTACGTCTTTTACTTAATGTCCTATCAAAAGGCTTGCTTGTGATTAGTAGATTACAAAAGCATGATCTCAAAGACTCACTTGTGCTGATTTCATTGAGTGTTGTGGCACCATGGGAAACTGGGTCAATATTGTCCTATTTCCTTGATTAATCTCTTAATTTGTTCAAATTTGATTTCAAAGTAGGTTTGTTTTTTCCAAAATTGAAAAGATTGCACTTTAGTAAATCAAATTGAATAGATAGTCTTTTTAGAATGTATTTGAACATACCATTTGTCTCTGCAAACCTACTTGGACATGATTGGTTTTCTCTTATTCTTAATCCTGCCAATAAAAACACTATTAAGACTAAAGAATATGCTAAAAGACTCAAAAACCTTTAAAGAAATCAGATTTTTTTCAGATCTTGTCCATGGAAGACCAACGAGGTAAGGTTAGTTAAATGCGTCCTTCCCCCTTCACTCAGGCAGAAATCAGTGTGAGTCTTCACGCAGAGCAACAGAGGCTGTGCTCGCTTTCTAAAAAGTGGGAGCTAAAAATTGCATCTTCCTGTGCCGCAGTCTATCCACAAGTTCAGTCATGCAGAACCGCACACCAAATAATGGAGAGAAAACACTGTTTCAGAAATTAATCACTGTTTAACAAGCCACAATGTGCCCTTGAAAGTGACGGTGTCCCACATCTGTTTGGAAACAATCACCATCTGTACAGGATCATGAATAATTCTGTTTGTTCAGAAGGAAAAAAATATTTATAATTAAATTACCGTGCAGTTAGTGTATCCTCGGTAAGATTGACAAACGCTGAGATGATATCACTGGATACATTTATTAAAACGTGGATAAACAATGGTTTCTACCAAAGAACCAGATAACAACGTAATCATTTTTGGGATTTTTCGAGGGAGAAAATAACTGACCGTGACAGCATGAACATTCAAATTCTGACATTGGCAGTTGTGTAAGTGCTAGATATCTATCTATAAATCCAGCCTTATCTGCAGATCTGCTGGTCACCTCCCCTGATCTGCAGCCAAACGACTGATCAGCATGTATGCAGAATTAAACAAAGCGACTGGAAATGACTGAAACAGCTGCAGCATCCAGAGTTTCAAGGTTTGGTAAAATAGAAACCAGCCTACCTTATCTAAAAGTCATCAAATTTAAAAAAAAAAGAAAAAAAAAAAAAGCTCTGCACAGTGTGCACTAGAAGATACCTTGTCTTCTCATTCATCACTTTATTGCTGAATAGAAACAGGATGTTATCTTTTTGACATTCCCTGTGAAAAAAAAAATCGAGCCATATTTTGCGGTTATCTTTGGTGTCTGTTCGCAGGTTATACTTTACGCTGAAGAAGAAGGCCTCTGCAATGTCTGTGACTGTCAGCCCCTGTGACCTTCCCTTGGAGTGGAGCCTGGCTGCTCGCACGCTGAAGGACAAACCCCTGAAAAGCCTGCATTGTGAGAGCAACGAACTGCTCCTCCACATACACCCAATAACATACCCCCATCTATTTAAGCCGGGCCGATCAATTAGATGTTATCACAGCCATTTAGGGATTTAGCAAAGGGCAATCTGATCTTACCTCCCTTTTCATTCGTTTACGCGTGTGTTTTCAGGGCTTTCGCGTTAAGCGTTTATTCATTTTAAATTTACAGCTTGAAAGTTCACAGCATTTATTTACGGCTGTCGCTCGATCACTAAACAGATCTTAATCAAATAGTTATTTCACTGCAGCACTTGGGACACATTCATGTGTTTTGAAAAGTGATTATCCCTAAACTTTGTCTCTAGACATCTTATTAGTGCATTGCACCAGACTTTTCAAGTGAAAAGGAGGAGGAGGAGGAGGAGGAGGAGGAGGAGGAGGAGGACACAGGCAGTAACTATGTGATTATATCTGGTTTTAATGAATTTATTGATAGACATTCAATTTTAAGGTTTTGTGAAACACACACATTAAAAGGTCCTTAAACTCACAATTCAATCACTGAATAGCACTTAAATTAAACTAGGCTTAATTTGTGACTAGTGCACAAAACCCATTAGATAAACTCAAAATACGGATCAGAGTTTCTAAGGGGGAATTAAACAACTTTAACCCCATTTTAGACATATGTAGACAAAGTATTTTTGGTCTAGTGTACGTTCAAAAGCTTTCTTTTTTACATGTTAGGATAATATTATGAACTCGTAAAATGACACATAAATCATTCAGACTGAGGGCTCATGGGTCTCCATCACCAGCTTGAATTATTCACTTTGATTCTGTAACATTTGGTCTCATTTGAGGAGCAGTTTTCAGCTCCAGGAGACATGTAAAGAGGAAAGAAAAAAAAACATGAGGTGATGTTTTTTTCTTTATTTATTTGCTGGTTTGTACTTTGTATTTCAATGTGAAAACACTTATGTGTGAGTGGAAATGCTTGTGTTCATTTATGAAGTGGCAGTTGACATTTAATGCATTTTTCTTTTTTGGTGGAAAGGGTTTTCTCGAAACATATATTAATCTAAGTTGTTTTATTCTGCAAATTGCAGAGCCTATACCTTCAAAGATGAAAATGTATTGTGTATTTCTATATTGGGAGAATTAGGACTTTTTTTTTTTATTAATTAGATTACAACAATTACATCCTAAATTGTGTAATCCATATAAAAAGCCTATTGCAGACAATGAAAGGCATATAAAACAAAATATGCTATCTAGGTATTTCATTTACAGCAAATCAAGAGTAATGGATAATCCACCTCCTCCAGTGCCCGTGTGGAAGATTTCAAATGCATAATGCCAGCGGTTAAACTGCTGATGTTTTTCATCATATTGTAAATCAGATCTCTTTTCAGCATTTACATTTTCAGCTACGCTGCTTTTGTGTTTTCAGATCTCTCTTTCATCTCAGGGACAAGCAAAAAGAGCACGCCCGAGATGTGGTGGCGAGGTCCTGGGACTGAAGAGAAACTATACAGCTTCACCGGTGATGTAGTACACACATACAGCGGGCCTTCCCATCCTCACTCTTCCATCTACATCCTGAGGCTGCGCTCCAAACAGTTTAACACCAGAGCTACAGTGCACCTCTATGAAGGCCATGGGCCCTCAGGCACCTTCCCTCTAATCCCTGCAGACCAGAGAGTTCACACCTTAGGTGTGGGCATGACGAGTGTCACCCTCAGCTGGGCGCCCAGTCCCTCCATAACCAGCCTTCCAAATGCGGAGAACAGCTACAATTACTGTGTCCTCGTCAATTCTCTGCGAAACTACCCCAGTCTTTGTGCTGCCCAGGAGAGCAAGAGGAAAGAGAAAGATCAGAAACAAGACAAAAAGGAGAGAAAAGTGACAGTGTGGCCAATTTTGAAAGAATGGTGGTGGCAGCAGTGGGACACTTATCCAGAAGACCAAAGTCCGCCATCCACTGACGATGGTCTCCAGTGCATGTGTCACGGCCTAGACAGTGTTTGCACTGTGTCCGAGCTTCTGCCCGACACCCCCTACTACTTTGACGTTTTTGTGATTGACAGACTGAATGGGACCAGTGCAGCCTACAAGGGAACATTTGCTCGGACACATGAGGAAGCTCGACCTGCAATCACTTCTCTGAAAGAGGGAGAGCTGAAGTGGGTGACCTTTGGAGACGGAGGCTCAAACTCAGAACAGCTTTTCACTTTCCGTCCACGGGGTTGGCAGCACAGTGGCCTCCTCACTTTGCAGAGCTGTGGTGGAGGTGATAAAATCAAGGTAACCGTTTCAAGTCAAGGGGAGGTTTTGACTTCTCAGAGTGTTGGGGGAGATTTGTCTCATATTTGGCTCCAAGGAAGTCCTTCCTATCTCATTCACTTGGAGCGAGAAGGAACTGCTACTGAGCAGATCTCTCTGGTTAAAGACCAAATTCAAGCAGGAGGTTTGATGGGTTCAGTCAAAATGCAGATCTCATCAGCATACCACAGAAGAGGGGTCCCATCTCTGCCCTCCACCTTGCAGATAAAATCCTTCAACCGGTTGCGTGGTTGCAACAGTATCACCCTGGCTTGGATGGGGACAGAGGAGAGAAGCCTGTACTGTGTGTACCACAGAAAGCTTGAAAACCTCGAGGCAGGGGGAGTATCAACTCTAACCTCTCCCTGTCTGGGACCAGAGTCCCGCTCTGACACTGAGAGGGTTCTCTGCAAGTATTTCCAAGAGCTGAATCCTCGACGGGCCGTCACTACAGCTGTGATTGGGGGCCTGGAGCCAGGAACGGCCTATGTGTTTGATGTCTATCTAATGAGACGCTGGGGGATCCCTATCAAGTACTCCAGCAAGATGGTGAAAACCAGAAAGGAGTGCTGAGCTGCTGCCCCCTAGAGGAGGTTTTTAAATGTCCCAGTTAAGGGGAAACGCATCAGCCATGGACATGCTGTGAAAACTGACCAAGAGTGTGAAGTAATTTGATTGTTGAGGAGAGATTGTCAGTATAACAAGGATGTGACCTCTTGGAAGACCAGTGGTTACGTTTGATCTTCACTTACACTCCAAGTGCAAGTGGATTGAAAGCATTTTTAGAAGGATCTGCACACCAGCAAAAGTTCATAACATTTACATTTCAACTCTTTTGCTCTTGTCATTTTGTTTCTCATTGTTGATCATGGTAATGACATGCCAGTTGTCCAAGTGCTTATTCTGTGTCTGAGTACAAAGAGCAGGCGAGATTTGTGATGACAGAAAGTCAGCACATAAACAACAGCAGATACTGTGCCAAGTATGCAAGAGAAGCAGATGGGGCAATAATTAGATAACATCTGAGACAGGACAGTTTGGAGTGTATATTCCCAGTACTGCATATTGTACAGGCTTATAAACATAGGTGGGTGCAATCTAAAGATACTTATTTTGAAGTCAGTGTGTATCTTTGTGTTCTGCTTTCGCATGAAGCAGTGAGAAATACTTAGTGACTTGCCTCATTGTCTTTGATGTATTTTTGTGCTGCTTCAAACTCACCAATAAATAAGGTGGTGTCTGGAAATTCTTGACCAAGTGTGTATTTAACTCTGACTTGGAAATCCAAGCAGTGATCAAATAATAAATGACTTCCTTTGAAAATGAGAAATTATGGCTATGCAATTCAATACTATTTCTAGTTTTGTTAATGTGTTTACATGGCCAAGGCGCCAGACCACAGCAGACATCAGTACACCATTTAGGTTATAATCACCAGTCCAACCAAAGGTGGGGCATTAGAAATATCAATAAAATCACAATGTAATTATTTACAAACTTAGTTACTTTTGTACAAAAATAATTTGATATCCCCTAATCTTCAGTCACCAAGCAACCCTGTAATAATGAATGAGTGTGTCATAGAGGGGGGAATGGTAGCAGTGTAATACAAAATCATAAATCTGTAAAAACATGCAATTAAAAGAAATTAGAGACTAAGTAAAGTTAATTAAAAAAGAGAAAATTAGCGGAGTAAAAATTTTAGTAATATTACAGTATTAAGATTTTTATTCAATGTGTTTCAAATTGAAATAGTCGAGACCCTGAATAAGATTCAGCATCACATGTTGAAAATTAACTGCAATGTAAGCATGTATTTTTATCTAATTTTAAATATGCCACACATAAATTTAGCAATCTTTTTATTATTCAGATACATTAATGGACAACATCTAAGTTATGAGAGTCCTTGCTGCGCAGTTCGACAGTTTTAACCAATGAGACCAGATTTGCGTAATTACGTAGGCACGTCTCTGTACGTACAAACATACGTGACAAGCCAGCGCGCCAAACTGATATTGCCAACGACGGTGGTATAGGAATGACTTGCTAATGCTCTTGTAGTAACAAAAAGAAAAAAAGTCCATCTTCTATAGAAGCCTAATACTAAAAACTCCAGCATCCAGACGTGGTGTAAGGTAAAACAAGAGCGTAGTCACGATGGGTTTGCTCGAGCAGTGTGAGGAGCTCTTCAAGACCTCCAACTTGTATGAAGTGCTGGGAATAAACAAGGAAGCGAACGAGGCAGATATTCGAAGGAGCTACTACAAAGTGTCGCTCAAAGTACACCCAGACAGAGCCCCCGAAGACCCTCAAGCGACAGAAAAATTTCAGGTTAGCATCCTTTGTTGTGAGCTATCAGACTGCACACGCGCAGTTACACAAGCTAGGTGCGGAAGCTAACTAACATGCTAATTTCAAATAGGTGGTTTCAACGAGTCGCTAACTGTTTTTGAGAAAAACAAACGTTGAAACCGTAATATTTGGGAATTCTGAACCAAAGGTGTTATACAAGTAAACAATACTGAAGCCTATCTGAATAACAAACACGAAGACTTAAGCCCTTCTCAATCAGTAGCAATACATATATACATATCATTTTTTTAAAGATTTTTCTTTATTTTTAAAAAATAGTTTGCATGCATTACCTTTACAATACCATTGCCATTCTAATAGCAGCAGCGATCATATGTATTGGATCTTAATATGTTCGTTGTGAAACATTTAATGGTGTTATAATTGTTTACACTTAAGGATCCCTGCAGAGACATTGCAGGATTATCAGGTGTGGTGGTTGCTATAGAAACCAAACGAATCACCTCTTTACACAAGAATCATCAGAAAGTCTAACTAATAAATGTAATGTGACAAGTGTTCTTCAAAGTATTCCATCGAATTGCATATCCTACGTTTATGTCATGGTTTTGAGCCATGTGATTTTCATAGATGAGCATACATTTTAGTAAAGGTCGTTCACATGTGTAAAATTGGCCTCCAGGTGTTGGGTAAGCTGTATACAGTGCTGACTGATAAGGACCAGCGAGCTATTTACGATGAGCAGGGAGTGGTGGACGAAGAGTCTGATGTCCTCAGTCAAGACCGCTGCTGGGAAGACTACTGGAGACTGCTCTTCCCGAAGGTGTGTTGCTTTTTCAGCAAAACACAAGTTTGTGTTGCACACCAAGCACTGGCTACCCTCAAACATCAGCTGTGTTCCAGTCATTTTGGTGACAAACTGAAAATACAAACTCTACAATGCAACCACCATAATTTGACACTTTTCTTTGAGTCTTGACAGCCTGCTCTGGTTTTCTTTCTGTGTCCTAGATCACAGTGGAAGACATTCTTAAGTTTGAAAAGAATTATAAGGGCACAGAAGAGGAGCGGGCAGATGTGATCCGGCTTTACGTGCAGCATAAGGGAGACATGGATGCCATCATGACTTCGGTTCTGTGCTGCTCTCAGGAAGATGAGCCGAGGTTTTGCAGCATCGTTCAGGCTGCTATAGATAGTGGAGAAGTGGAAGCCTTCCCAGCATTTACTCAGGAGAGTAACAAGAAAAAGAGGGCTCGCAGGAAGAGGGTGAGACGAGCGTTGGTGTTCACAGTTTAGGAATATTCATATCTTTGCCATGTTGTCATATGGCCAAACCTACCATTAAACCCATAAGGATTTACCCTCATTTGTCAGTGGCATGTCAATTTATTGTTATTTCTGAACTCACAGGCTGACAGAGAGCGACAAGAAGCAGAAGAGATGCAAAAAGAGATAGGACTTGATGGTCAGGATGACAGTCTTGTCTCAATGCTAAAGGTAACGCATGTACACACGTTATTCTTTGAGGTCTGTTGTTCCCCTTAATGCTGATTTTCATTTGTCTTACATGTTGCAGCAGCGACAGCAGTCCAGAGGGAATAATTTTAACAGTTTTCTGTCTGACCTGGAGGCAAAATATTCCAAAAAGAGTGCACAACCACCGAAAGGAAAAAAGGGGAAAAAGTGAATGTCAGAAAAAGTTTACTTTAAGGACTTAAGTGTTCAAACCAGCTTTTTTCTGTACTCCTAAGTGTTCATCAGCCACAAGTTTTATTCTGACACAAAAATGTAAATGCGACTTGTATTCCGTGTGTGTGTAAAGTTTTCAATTATTTGTTAAATAATAAATTCAGATGTGTATATAAGCTTATTATTTGTACAGTTTTTATTTGATTATTTTGTATAAAACAATGCACAACAGATTTTCAAGCTTAGTTGCCTTTGTGGTATGGCTGATAAATGTATTAAATATATCTGCAGTCATCCTGGTGTTACCTGTCAAAGCTTGCCAATTTGGCTTTGCTCTAATAAGGTACATTAAATACAGTACTTTTGCACACATGATGAAGAATTTCCCTCCGTTATTTACAATTGCTTTTACGTCCATGCCTCTCATATTCCTGCAGAGTGGGATGATTTTAGTAGAAGTACTCAGACTGTGAAGATGTTCAGTCCATACAACCACTGCAGGCGCTCCTGTTCTGGTTTTGAGTTGTCTTTGGATGGGAGAATGTGGCACCTCTCATCACTGGTTCCTGTATGCAGTGAGGAGCCCTGTGTTTTGCTCACACAGGTTGTTTCAGCGTTGTAAGAAAAGATACAGTACTAAACTCTCTGCAGCAGAGAGGAAGAAAGTGCTTTTTGTTCTCTGTCTCTGAGTGCATGTGCTTTTCCCTGCAATACCAACACCACAGGGAATATTCACGTATAAATAGATATACACATTTATACCATATGTACGTTATAGAAATATCCACACAGGCTGCTCATATTGTAGACAAAGAGTTACTGTAGGTGGAGTTTGGCTGCCACTTAAGCTGATTTCTTAAATACAAAAATAAAACCTTAACCTAAGTAGCATTGTATAAAAAAATCTGCTACTTTAGTAAATAGAAAGTCTTCAGCGGGCACAGACGATGCAGAGTGTTAGCTGTGAACACATGAATGGCTGGAAGCTTTTGAGATCAGAGGCAAACTACAAGCCAGGTTTGCTGGCTCGAGATGAGATGCCTCCGCGGGTGTAGGACCGAGGTGGGACTGATGCAGGCACCAGAGAAGCTGCAGGAATGAAAAATAAATAAATCTGAAGTTAACGAACAACCTCAACTCGTTTCCAGTGGGTAAGTTTGTCTGGAAGCTCTTCCTTTAACTTCATTGTACTGACCTGGGATGGAGCCCTGTGGGTCTGGCTCCTCTTCATCTTTGATGGGCAAGTGTCCCAGCGGGTGGTGAGCAAATGAGTCCAAGAAAGAGGAACTGCTGATGCCAAGACTGATGCCAGTCACACCAATTCCCAAAGAGTCTGGTGATATGAAAGAATACATTAATGCATAAGTAATCAACGGGGAAAAAAGTTCTAACATATTTCCTGTTCAGAATGAATGTGTAGAAATCCTCAAACCTGTGACCACATGTTCCAAACAAGAAATGAAGTTCACCCATATCAAATAACAGGAGGGCCATTGTGTGGTATTATCTCTAGCTATTAGCTGAATATAGATCAAAGTTTAAAGACAAATAAGACTTAAAGAAAAGGTTATTCAAAAATACGACAACAGATTTAAAATTCAGACTAGAGCTCTACGTCAACTGCAGTTTACCACATCCCCAGTTTCGACGTCTCTGAAGGTTTTCACTGTGAGTTTCTGACCTGTGCCCACAGAGGCTCTGCCTGGCCGACCTTGGCCGATGTTGTCCAGTATTGTGAAGGAACGTCGGTACGGAGTGTCTGACTGAGAAACAAACCAAGAGTGAAACCGGCTGCCATATAATGACCACAATAATTCCCACTAATGAAACTTTTACTTTCTGCTTTAATTGTGTGGTACTGTACCCTGTATGTGTGAGTTGTGTTGGGGCGAGAGAAGACGTCCAGCAGGAGATGGCGATCTCTGGGTATTGAACTGCCAGCCTCGTCGTTTATAGCACTGTGGGCACGGCTGGATGGGCCTTTCTGACGCTGACGAGATTAAACAATACAGACCACACAGAGCTAAGGACAGGGATTTTTTATTTAAACACTTTATCAGTGCATTTAGGAAACATTTCTGTTTTTTATGTGTCTGTCATCTACTTGTTGTCTGTACCTGTCCATATCTAGACTGCTGACCAGTGTGGGAGGGCTCCGAGTCCCCTGTGCCAATGGGAGGGAGGAGTGTGTTTCTGCTAAGGGGCAACAATGGAGGCGTCTGACTGTCACTGGCTGTCGGTCTGTGGAACAAAACACACTCTCCATGAGTGCAAGTCCAGTTTGTTTGAATCATTTCTACTTAATGGAATAGTTGGACGAAGGTGGATAGTGGATGAAAGTCAAAGTCAGACTTGGGTACACTTCCAGCCTTTTACAGAGAGGATTTGGCTTTGCGACAAAAAGACATTTCACTGAACTCTCGGCAACAAGGAATTAGAAAGGCCTAAAATGTAAAACAGACTTTATTCTCCAGCACAGTAGGCTGCCCATTGCTGTTAGTGAACCTACAGACCCACGAGGAACAGGCTGGACTCACAGGCGTGTCCCACGGATGACCTCGTCCAGGTAGACTCCTGTGCTGGACTGACTGGAGCTGGGAACCAGTGGCAGGAGCGTTCGAGGAGGGTTTCTGCGCCGAGCCGACTGCGCCGGGCGGGAAAGGGAGGAAAAGCTCTGCTCCAGGGCCCGGCGAGGGCGAGGTTTGCTGGAAGAGACCACGCTGGATCCTGGCCGGTGGGACACACGCTCTTCTGGCTCCCTGTGAGGGAGGGCGGGAGGAAAGCACTGTGATTAAAAGATTCTGTTTCATTTTTGGTTCTTAGAGCTATTTACTGCAGAAAATCTGAGTGAGGTATCTGAAAGAAAAGTGGAACATCCATCAACTATGACATTGTGGAGTTCTTTTTATACGAAACATGTTTCCACATGTATCTGGGCAGCAAGCATGATATATTTAGATGTTTAAAATGTTTTATATTGATCCCGTTATTCTAAGCACTTGAATTACTGCCTGAAATGGCAAGGACCCTTAAAACCAAAGTCAACATGCATCTAATACATTTTGGATTTTATTTGCTCAGATAAAGTTCTGACACGTGTGCTACAAGCATAGTATTTAATCCATTTCATGTCACAAATGAAGTAAAGGCTTCCATACTGGCTTTTTTCCAGCACGCCCAGGTTCCTCTGCTGCAGGGGGATGCTGTGGATCACAATAAGGTCGTTCAAGTTGTGCTGAGTTGCTGCTGCTCCCACAGGTCCCCTACCAGCCTGAAGAATGGTGTGAATTAGGTGAGCAAGAGTAATGAAGCAGGTAATGAGAGGTAGAAGATGACAAAAGATCAGAATGATTAAGGAGTAAAGGACAGAGACAAAAGGATACATTATCGATACTGAGCGCTGAACCGGCACCTGTTCACTTCAATACTTACACAGTATAATCCAAACACAAAAGCTTACAGTCATGCAGTGATGTACAGTCAGGAGGACCCCCGTAACAGCTACGACTCAAATAAAAAATGTCACACCACTTAGATAATAGAATGTGTGGCAACATTTCGACAAGAAAACAAGGATCTTAACACAAAGTTGGAAAACTGTGATAAGAAGCTGCAGTTAATTCAAGACAAACAGTGAGGATGCTTTAGTGTTCATCAACAGGCACAAGCACATTCATTCTACAGGTAAAGATAAGGAGCCTCTACGGATGGCGCACACCCACCACACCCCCATTCTGGCTCTAAGTGAGGGAGTTACATACACTGGAAGGCTTTTTCTGCTTTTTGGATTTCCGCCTGGACTTGTGCTTTGAGCCACTTGACTTTGTGTTCTTTGTGTGGAGGGGATGAATATCCATCGAAAGAAGGAAGAGATGTAGGGGAAGAGGGAGGAAAGGGTACAGAAAGAAACAAAGAAATAAAGAGAGTAAAACAGGTAGATAAGAGTATATCAAACAAAGGAAAGACAAAACAGAACGATGTCAGGGTGATGGGTAGAAGATGAAGAGGGAAGGAAAGAAAACAGTGATATAAGTTAATGAACTGGAAAAGCAGAGACTGTAGAGAATCCAGCAGGAGTGAAACAGGCAATCATTACTTACATCTGGAGCAGACATACAACTTCACACTGCGTCTGTATTTATTTGCACCATGCTCACCTAATTTAATCATTTGAATAATTTACTCTGGATATTTTTAAACAAAAAAGAAACCCTACTCAACTGTAGCTGATGAAAATTAAATGAAATGAAATGAGTGCAACGGCACCAAAAGATGTCCTGTGGCTCCTCCACATCTCCTCAGTCCACTGACCTGGAACTGCGGGCCGGCTGTGAGCTGGGGAACCCGGCTCTGGCCAAGCTTGGGCAGCATTGTGGGCAGTGAGGAGAGCAGCATAAAAGGATTCTGGGAGTCTGACAGCACAGGGCTCAGGGATCCAGAAATCGTTTCATCATCTAAAAATCACACATGTAAATTTAGTTCCAAACAAAGCAGACAGACACGATTTCAGACACGTGCGTGTGAAGTGGTGAAGGTCACGCTCACTTGAGGTGCAGCATTCCCAGTGGCGTTGGACCAGCTCTTTCATCCAACCGACCAGCTCCTGCCACACATCGTCAAACAGCAAGTCGAGAACAGCTTGTCGGCGACAGCGGTATGGTGAGACAGGAGGCAAACAGTGATGCCTCCGAACCGAGTCCGAGCAGTCTTCGTCGCACTCATCATCTCTGTGGAGGATGGATGGGATTTTTACATAAATCTGTGCCAGAGGTGATAGTTTCTGTGGATTAACTGAGCAACTCACAGGTCTCTGCTGTCAAAAGCCAGGTACTCCTCCATCAGACCCTCTACTTCAATAACCCGTGGCTTGTCGTGGCTGCTGGAGCCACAGGAGTTATTAGGGGGGCCGTCCAGCTCTGCAGAGGTGGACCTGATCAGGGCAGCTCTCCTGCCCTGCACATTCAACCTTTATACACCAAGACAACACAGTTATGCCACTTAATTTATACCACATAAATGATACATTGACAAAATGAGGCTAATAAGCAGCATGAGAATCTTCACATTAACTGACAGTACTGCAGATGTACAAGCAGGTTAAACTTGATCTAAACTTCATCAGAGAGCAGCGCTGTTTAGAGAGCACCATTTGCTCCTCATAGTTATTTATTACATTAATTTGGCCTGCATACTATAATTAATAAGCCAGAGAATTTGGGTCATGAAATCAGAGTCAGCCAGGACAACTCCAGGACTGACTGACACTAGTCATCAGGAAAGCCAGCCAATAGCTCCTTACAACAGGGACACTGGAAAGTGTTTATTGCAATCATTAAAAAATATATAGTTTTGACAGCAGTTTCAAACTGACATGCTGCATTTGTTTTCAGTACAAGCAGAGCTGACTAACCACAAGATCAAATCACAGTATCAGGATCAGAAACCTCCAGCTGTCAGTGCATTACTGACTTACTCTGCACCACTCTTATCTTTCTCTTGGGATTTCACTGTGATTTCTTTGCTTGCTGACTGGGTGTCTGTCTCTGAAGTAGCATACCACTGGAAGCCCTCGTCAGTGGGGCAAAGCAGCTGAGTCCCCGAAATCCTGAGTAACACATACAGGAAATTTAGAATAATGAGGTCAACTTCACGAGTGGGACGTGCAACTCAGCTTGTTGCAAAACTGAAAGATTACACACCGTAGATGTGGGAAGCGTGAGGTCCACTGCTGACATTCATCCTGCAGCCCTTGGAGGATCCCTCCCCCACTGCCTCTCCCCTCGTACAGCTCTCTGTCGATCTCCTCAAACATTTGCTGCACCTGCCGTGACGCTGCCTTGTCAAACTCCTGTAGGACACCAGAGAAAGTAAGACAGATAAGGATGCTAGCGTTAGCTCTTTTCTTAAACAGAACAGCTCGACGCCGGAAACCTGCTGCTTTTCATTTTGTTCGTCATCCCAAAAAAACTTACACAATATTTTAAATATTTGTCAAAAGACATCAAATGTTGGTCAATTAATCTAAACTTATTTTAAAATAGATGTGAGAGCCAGATTGTTGCATTATCAGAAAATGTTTAGAAAGTTTTCTTACGAACGGACTTACATCGTAGCCCCAGGAGAAAACAGAGCTCCTCTCTGTGGAGATGCCTGTGCCCGTGGAGCTGTGGATGCCTGACCACGACTGGTTGGAGTCTACTGAGATGACGGTGGGGCACTCAGAGTGAGTTGAAGCCGCAGACGTCTGAGAACTAAAAAAAGAAGGAGGCTATGGGATTAGTGTGGAGCTTCAAAAGCCATGTAAAGAACTCTACAAAATGAGCAGGGGGATGTAGAACAAGTAACTGGGGATTGCTGCTTTCCTAATCAAAGTGGAAAGTGAGGGCCAAAAGTCAAAGTTATTGAATATTCTAACAGGCTGCCTTGTTACTCATTCTTTTCACTGCACATCTAAAGGAGGGAATGTGATATGAATTAATGCACTACATCTGGGTGTCGCATGGCATGAGTCCTGAGAATCAGCTGTCTGCTCAAGATGGTGTAATGTTACAAAACACAAAGATGAGTGTAAGTGTGTGTGTGCATACTTGCTGCAAATAATTTTGTTGTGACCCCGCTCTGAAACCAGCTAAAGGTTTGTCTCTTTGCAGAAGAACCCAGACCTCCCAGCAACTTAGTTACCTGTTGTGTGCAGAGACAGCTTCCTGCAGGTGGTGGAGGTAGTGCTGAGGGGTTTCATTATCATCTGCTTCTTCTGGGAGAGGATGGTGATCGAGGCTGCTTCGAGACAACCCACGACTACACAAAGGACAGATTGGGAGTATTCATCAAAAGATGTATTAACAAAGTGACCGTGCCGTAACTTGGGTGAACATCAGTGGTGTGTAAAATGCTCACTAGTTTAAAGATAAAATGTGAAAAGATGTCTTTCACTATAGAGGAAAATATCTTACAGTGTAGAGTCTTGAGGTTGTTCCGTGCAAAAAAACAAAATAGTATCCCTCAAAATAAACTGATGCAAACAACTACTTTGCACCTCTGTGTACTACAGAAGAATAGAGCCAAATCACAATTTCAGCGCTTAGGATAAGAAGTACCAAACATTGCAATAACTCTACGGTGGCTAGATGCCACCTTAAAATTAGTTGTATTTTCTAAAATAGATCAATTGAGTTAGTCACTTACAATTTTTATAATTTGGTGTATTAAGGAAAGTGCATACAATCAAAATAATTATTATGTTCATATAATCTTACACTTACACTAAATAACTGAATCAACATTATTGCTTTTTGTGGGTTTGGTTAACAACCCAGGAACCTAGCAAACCTTTTCCCCTAACAATTATTCCCAAATCAGCAAGCAAATGAGCCTCTGCCCCTCATCCGTTGGTGATCGGTACTCACATCTCAAGTTTGTGCGACACGGGTTTCCTGCTGTATCGAGAAATCATCCTATTTTCTCTGCTTTATGGGCTAAAGCCCCCGTCCCTCATCCTTTCCTCCACATCCAGTGCTCTCTGAGAGGAGTTTAGAGGGAACTCCGGCATTTCTTCATACATAATTCCACACATGCAAGTCCCAGGAGCAAAAAAACAGGACAAGTCCTCAGGTACTCGAGCCTTAGTTGTGTCTAACTGTAGGTATTGGTTAGAAGAGGCTACGCCTTACAATTAGCTAACTAGCATTATGTGGCACTAGCAGCATTATGAAACTCAATAAAGCAATTAGTAAGATAGCAAAACTTTACTACATCAAATGATAATTATGATTTGCTGTATATGTCTATGCATGCCGCTCAAATATACTTATGTACTTGCACTAACTAACGTAGCCCTAAGAGGTTTTAATGCTAACGTTAGTACCTATGCCTACAATGACAACAGTGGCGCCGCGGCTGTCATGGATACGCAGCCTTTGCTACCGCGCGGTCATATGGGAAATTGATTTCAGAGAGGCTTTATGGAGTCTCGCAGCACTTGTTATTTCACTACATTTCCCAGCATTCGTTGTAATAATTGAAGTACGTTCACTACATTTGTCCGTTTGGTCACGTAGATAGTAACTTAAATGTGTCTGTCTGTAACTAATCGATTGATATATTTAAATAACGTAAGTAAAATATTATTCCGATTTTGTATTTATTATATTTTTATTCGTATTGATAAAAACTTTATTCGAAAGTTCTATGTAGTAGGAACGTTTGTAGTAGATACCTGAAGCAGTAGACCATAAATAGTACAAGGACCGTAAAAGTGGCAGATGGCGTTACAGCAACGCGCATAAGTGTGTTTAAAGCCTAATTTTATTCCTGCATAGATATAAGTTTGCTCTTTATCAAAATAAAAGTTTACGCACAGAAACGAGACAAGGTAAGACTGAATTACAATTTCAATGATCTTTTGAAAATATATACAATATAGCAGGTTGGCTGCTACAAATTTCTTTCCTGTTTTTAGTCTCAATTATTCAAACAGTTATGGAGCACATGTCGACATACTTTTGCATGTTTTTAGTCAGGTTAAGAAGACATTATTACCATGGACGCCCTAAAGAGGAGGACAGTTCAAGAAGACATGGTCCAGTACAAACTATTCTTAATCCAAACAGACAGCTCAACTCCTCAGCAGACAGAGGAACGACTCAGACATCTGGTAGAGGAAATTGTAGCAAAAGTTGCCCCGCTGTTGACAAAATACATCTGGCAGCATCAGCCATTTAACCTCAGGTATCATCCTGAGAAAGGTAAAAAAAAATTGTGAGGACCTTACAAGATGCTGACACTATGGCAGAAACACTAAAGATCGTTCCATTTCTATTTACTGACAGGAGATGTACCTGGTCACATTGGAGGCAGCACTCAGTTTGGAGACAACGTTGAGGACGAGTGGTTTATTGTTTACCTCCTTCAGCTAATCACTCAGGATTTTCCAGATCTTGCAGCAAGGTGAAGACCCAGCATATGTCCTCAGTTTGTTTTCTTTTTATAAAAATTAAATAGCCATGAGTCATCCCCATTTGTGCTCACTGCTTGCAGTTTCCCTTCATTCTTTTTGTTTGCAGAGTTGAAGATAATGATGGAGAGTTTCTTCTGATCGAAGCTGCAGATTATCTTCCCAAGTGGATAAACCCAGACACCAGTGAAAATAGGGTGAGTCATTCAAATCAGATGACAGATACTTTTTAATCATATGATGTTTGGAATTTTTCTTGAAGGACCACACCTGTGGGATTATAAAATTGAAATGAATCTTTAGATTGTATTCCAGAGGACGGCTCAATCTTTTGTTTCAGATGATTTAGGGAGGCATGTTTACATTTCAAAACATCTAGTTGACTCTTGAAAGGGTAGTTCAGATTTTATAGCTCTCACTTCAGATTAATAGATCTTCTTTTTCCATTTCAAGAATATAATCAGTGCTATTATTGGGTACTCGTTATTATTGATATGAATAGATCAATTTATGTATGTAACGACTTGTTGCGTTGCTTTTTTTGTTCTAGGTCTTTCTTTTTAGGGGAGATTTGCATATCCTTCCTTGTCCCTCCAAATCCAGCTCAGTGGGATTCCCACGTGACAAGGTACCCAGTGTGGGGCAAGCTCTAGCACTGCTTTCTTCTCAGACAGAAGCCTGCCGAGCAAGCTCTAAGATATGTGCAGCTTTGAAAAAGAGGCTGGAAGGGTAAGAGAAGTTTTATATTCAATAAAGATCTGTCTTAGATACTGGAATAGAACAGCTTTATGTTGGTGCATTGCTGCTGTAAAGAGCCTTCAGGCTAATGCTACAAATGTCTAACTTTACAGTCATTTGCAAAAGAATACCAAACTAAAATGAAAAAGAAAATCCATTTTTGTTTACTATACAGATACCCAGGGAAGATTAAAAGTAGCCTCCACCGTGCCCACTGCTTCATACCTGCAGGTATTGCCAGTGTGTTGGCACAGCGTCCAGACCTGGTGGCTCCTGCAGTTTCAGCCTTCTACCTCCGTGACCCGGTGGATCTACAGGCCTGTAGACGCTTCTCAACATTCAGTCCTGATACGAAAGTCCTCACCTTGGTAAACGCACATAAAACACTAAAGAATCAAGAATAATAAAGGAAGAAAGTTGAATTTCTGAAAAGGGAATATTGTAATTTCAAGTTTTTTTCTTCTCTTTTTAACAAACATGCCATTAAGTGTCATTCAAACATGTAACTTGGTTTATGTTTCCAGGTGACTTTTACCCGCTGCTTGTATGCACAGCTGCAGCAGCAAAATTTCACCCCAGACCAGAAGAGCGGATTCAACCTGCCTCCTCGCTCACATCCACAGTACAAGGCTCATGACCTTGGAATGAAACTGGTGAATCATCACGTGTCCTTCTTCATTCTTTAAGCCTTGTTGGAAGCTAGGACACGGATAGGATGGTGTTTTGAATATTGTGTGTTTTTGCCCCGCTCCCAGGCCCATGGCTTTGAGATCCTTTGCTCTAAATGCAGACTGCCATCTTCAGAGCCAGGCGAAGCAGTCAGTTGTAACCCTCAGTGGAAAGGCTTCATAGAAAGTCTGAAAAGAAACGGCTACTTTCGGGTTAGCAGCAAATTTCTGTTTGTCTTTTCATTGTGAATAGCAGCGGGAAGAGCTCTCTTTTACTGTCATAATTCTTTCGTTGTCAAATGCAGGGAGAGCTGGAAGGTTCAGCCCTGTACAAAGAACTTTTAACATCAGCAGAAAATTTCTTCAAACAGTCTGTTGCCACAGAAACCAGGTGAGAAAGATGCCCATGAAAGCAAACTTAAAAAGCAGCAACAACTGAATCGCTCTCCAAATACAATGGAGGAGGTGTAAGAATAATACAAAAGCACATCATCACTTCTCAATTTCGTTGGTATTTTGGAAGTCTGCAGACTTCCTTGGACTTGTTTGTCACAGTTTATGCATATATATACAAGAGTTCAAGGACCCCTTTAAGAGTTGTATTATCGGTGGTGAATATTATTCACTTTTCGTCCATTTAAATGTCATCTGACCTGTGTTTACAAGATCTAAACTGTGGAAATATACCTGGCATTTCCACCCGTGTAAATTTGTCTGAATATGCCAACTGTTGTCCCAGCACTCTGTCTCCGGGGGAGGAGGTTCTCCAGCTGCTGCACACCTGCAGTCCGCTCAGTGTGGAGGAGTTAAAGAAACTAGAGTCACAGCTCCCCCAAGAGGATAGTAAGTGGAAGTCTGAATATGAAAACTCAACCCAAAGTGCTTAGTGTTTGTTTGGTAGAAAGAAAAGCACTGTATGCATTTGGTTTGAGACCATCCCTGGAGGACAATTAAATAGCACGTGTTTGCATGCACATGGTCAGTGTTTCCTTTAAGCTTTTACATCAGATTATGTGATCTTCATCAGTTAACCCTGACAGATTGAGTCTGCCCATGAGGATTTGTATGCTTAATGTTCATGAGTTAAGGTTTTAATGAGATTGCCTTTGTCATATTTCAACTGTTATTCCACTCATTTTCCTCTCCTTGTGGCTCACATCCTCCCCATTTATCTTTTCTTGCAAATCTCCAGGTGACAGCTGGCTGGATGTCACGGCTCAGGATTTGGAGCAGCTATTGCTGGAGAGAAGTGGGGGCAGAGCCGATGTTTCCGTAAAAACCTCCAGTACCAGCAAGCAGACACAAGATGTCGCCGAGGCAGAGAAGCAAGGGGAGGAAATGGAGAAAAACAAGCGGGAAGAAGAAGCCGGTTACAGCTTGATAGCAGTTAGTCAAGGGATGAAGAACTTCCTCAACGCCATGTCGTCCCATGAGGGGGCTGAGCTCCCCTGGTGAGACAAACAGACCAAATGACACTACCTGGTAGAGGAAACTTAAGGCTAATGTACAGTGTGCAGAAACCGTAAAAGTCAGTACAGCGATGTCCTGCACTCTGTAATCAGACCCCCAAAGTTTCCTTCCATTTAATTCCTCACAACTTTGTCTTTGTGTTATAGGAGCAGTGCAGCACAGCCTTTCAGTTTTGACCCAGACTCCATGGCCAGTGCATTGGACAGGCTACTAGGCAAGTCTTAAGAAAGCTTCCCCTTTCTCACAAGCTGCCACAGTTTCCTCAGGGTTCAATGAAATGTCTGACATGCTTTAATCAAAATAATGCAGAAAGAAACCATGGCTACTCCTTTTTCTGCCATTATTTCGCACAGATGATTAAAGCATGTGGAGTGACCCACTTCAGCCTCCCCTTCCCTTTCAGAGTAGAGCAACTCTACATGATCCTTGAACTATATTATTACATTGTAAAAATAAGAAAACACAGTCTGAGAATCACACTTCAGAATCCACCCTAAACTGAAACTAAAAATCCCCCAACCGACAGTTTTACTGTCAGATACATCTGCAGTTTCTTCTTGTGTTTGAATAGGCCATCGATCAGCCTTTAAAACAGTCTGATTATAAGTTGTTAACAAATGCACATAAACAATGTTTGAACATGTAACAGCTACTTGCCATTTGATAACTGCAGTAAAATAGTCAGCATCACAATTAATCAATTATGCTGTCCTGGAGCTCCTTTCTTGGACATTTAGTTTCCATTAGAAGTAAGTTTATAACATTGAAGTTATTTGAATCCATATAGAGCTCAATTTCTTCACTTTTCTTAAGTTAAGTGAACCAATAATGAGAGCTAATTGCATAATAAGTAGATGCATATTGATAAGTGAAAGAGTTTGAATTTTGCAGTTCAGTGAATTCAAATAAAAAAATAAATGAAAAAAATTATTTATCCCCAGGCTGTAATTAAAGTGAGTCCATTAGAAAATGAGCTAAATAATTTTTTTAAGTGATGTCAGGGTTTAATCTTTTAGGCGATGAGTGTTTTCAGACTCCTAATAAATGCTTTCTCGCAGATAAAGAGAGAGATTTTCCTTTTTTACCACCATAATATGCCACCTGCTTCTCTTAAATACATTTTTTGTTTAATTTTTTTTTAGGTAGCAAAAACGAAGAGCTAGATTCAGATGATCTGGATGATGATGATGATGATGATGATGATGATGATGATGATGACGACGACGACGACGACGACGACGACGACGAAGAAGATGAGGAGGAGTCAGAAGAAAGAGAGGGGGACTCTTCTGTTCCTGCAGAGACGAGGGGGGCAGGTGCGCTGGAAGACCTCAGAACATATATGGACCATATGGATCAGGAGTTGATGAGCACTAATGTTGGACAAAGCTTCAGCCAGAAGGTAAATTCAAATCACGACTGCATATTTTTCAAGGCTAATGCTTTACTTTGTTCTTCCCCTCAAGTTATAAAATTGAAATCCTGTGCTTAATGGAGGCGAAAACTGCTCCTGTTTTATTCTTGATGCAAATTTTCATGTTTCACAGAATCACAGCAAGGTGGACAAAAGCTTCTCTCATCACCCTGAAAGAGATGGTCTCACAAAAGAGGAGGGAGTGGAAGAGACTGAAGAGGAAATCCAACCTTTAGATGTGGACGTCAATTTGGTGTCAAACCTGCTGGAGTCTCTCAGCTGCCAGGCAGGGCTGGCCGGCCCTGCTTCTAACCTGCTGCAGAGCCTCGGCATACATCTCCCACCCAACTCTGATCCCTCGTAGAGGGAAGCAGAAGGTTGAGTTAAATTCTGAGTGAGTCCATATTGGGCAGGGAGAAGATGAATCTGTGCTCTGAATGTCTTGTGACAAAATGTCTAACGTAACCATGAAGGTGGGTCGGTGTGTGTACTCATTACACAATATTTTTCTAAATATCTTTATTATATACATTATTAAACATGTCCAGACAATTAAAATGGCATTTTCCACATTATTTTGCATATCATGTCAAAAATACATATTCACATTTTCATAAATCTCAATTATAGCTTATTAAGTTTAGACAATAAAATAAAATAATACCATTTTTGTATAACTTTTTGTTACTGTGACCCTCTTTCATCTGACACTTCAGTAGTCACAATCATTCAAGGGCAACTTTAACCAACTGCTGGTCATCGATTCATTCAGTCAGATATGAGTTTAAATATATATAACACTGATAAGTAAAGAATGCAATAAAGTCACTTTAACCATCTACATGCAGTGCAGTCAACCCACTCCTAACTATTCCTTTTCATCTGAAGAAGCTGTCAGAATCATTCTAGGAAAACCTGTGTGCATCTGCTTAGTGGGAAATACTGTTTGTTTTACTAAGTACCAAGGAGACAAAAACCTTGTGTCTATTGACTGAATTATACATTTTAAGACAATTATGTTTTAGAATTTTATTAAATGTTTAGTTTTTCGTGAATTAAATAATGCATGGTAGCAGAATATCATCTTTGGCTTCGAAGCACCTGTTTTCCTTGATGGGAACAGCACATGACTGCCATCCTCTTAGTTGGAACTGAGATAGTCATTTGGGTAGTTTGGTATGTAGAAGCTCTGCAGAGGTAACAACCTCTCTTTTCTCATACAGATGCCAGCATCAGTAAAAGAAAAATCCTCCTAAGACATTTATTTTGTATCAAATGGCTATGTGATTTTGCATCATTAGAAAACTTTGATAGATTCAAATAACATGCTTGGTCATTATAAATATGGAATGCAATGGGAAACATAAATTATACTACTTGAATAAGAATTTCTTGGAATAAATTGGTAGCGACACAAATTGACGATGGGGTCGGTAACAGAGTCAGTAGGGCTTATTCAGCCTGTAGTTTGACAGTGACCCATGGGTGTAAAATGTTTTTTGAACGGCCTTAGAATGCTCCATGAGCATTTGTACATGAAACAATTGCAATGATGGGATCTCACCAAATGTGTACGAGGTTCAATCTAATAGCTGTAGATCAGCTCTTTTCTGAAAAAATTACCTTGGTTATTCAAGGGAACATTAGAAAACGTGAGTCTTCTGAGCATGAAACTATAGACCATCCTTACTAAAAAGTGGTTCCTCATTGTAGCATTTTACGTCAAGTGAGAAATTATTCATACCACGCAACGTCAAGAGCTTGTTCACCAAGTTTAGCCCTAAACTGTCAAACCTTTGAGTGAAAGCCTGACTTTGTATTAAAAAATCAGCTTGGCAGCTTATTACGGTAGACTCAAATACCAAGTCTTTGGAAAACAGAAAAATCAGGCCTTGATCATATGAAAAGATTGTAGGAATTTTTGTGTAGGAAAGCATTTTTCTTTTCCACAAAATATATAATGGAAGAAATTGGAGACACCTCCCAGGAATCAAATTACCAAGTAATGTCAGCTGAAAAGTTGAGTGCAGAAATGCAGTGTCGACTTGAGGATCATGCAATAACTTGGCGGGAATGGCCTGGATCGGTGAGCTACATTAAAAAGAAAAGCTTCTGGCGGCTTAATACAACTACAGAAGCTGTAAAAATGGATGTGCCACCTGTCTTGCTGAAAAAAGCACTGCAGCAGCAAGTGGAGAGACACAAAGAGCAGCGACGCTCACCAGGAAGTTGAGGACCATCCCCAGCAGGACAATGGCGAGCAGGTATCCGTGGAACAGCAGGTTTTGCCAGCTGCTGTGCCTCAACACCTGCCAGGGACTGTCCGGGTGCAGCAGCCACAGAAGGCCCAGCACCCCACTCTGGTTGACCAGCTGGACGTAGTAGATGTCAAACACAGAGGCTTGGTGGCGCTCAGCTTCAGACACTTTAGCCAAGCCAATCAGAGAGAGACTGTGCAGGATCAAAGCCGCAGGTGCATACAAGCACTCCAGAGGATCGATCGCTGGGAAACCTTTGGATGCTGTGGAGAGAGTAGAAGCCAATTATGATGAATTCAGTCAGAGGTGACTAAGGCAAAGTTTGACCTACAAATGGCAATAATATTTACCTGTGAGGATAATAAACGTCCCACTCAAAATGGAAATCAAAACAAAGGAATGAATAGATGGTGGACACGCTAGCTTCAGGGTGAAACTGAAGCCCACGGTGACCAGGGGCAGAAGTGGAACAGTGAGGAGGAAAAGACTGGCGTACAAGCTGCTGGCTTTGGCCCACATAGCCAGCACACCTTGAACACTGCCACAGATAGCAGGCAGAAGCAGTCTCTCACCCAGAGATCTGGAGTAATTTTTGATTGGGACCAGATCCAGGACATGAAGGAGATTCAAGAATAAGAGAGACACCAGAACCTGAAAGAAATTAAACCAGTGTTAAGGACACGGTTATTGTAAAGAAAAAAAAGAAAAAGCAATCAGTTATGCACTTATGATCGACTCTTATGTTAAAAACAGATCAGGTGAGTTCCAGATAAACCAAGTGCTTAATCTGTTTAGGTCATAAAAGGCACAACATTTAGCCTAATCTGCGTTTGCATGACTATCATGTCAACCAAAATCACTCAAAGTTATTCAGCTATATTACCAAACAATAAGCTGTTTGAGCATTTTGTTCAATTTCAAATTATGTTTTTGATGAGTTATAACTATTAAACCATTTTTAATCCTTTGGCTGATTTTATTTGTACTCATTTGTGTTCATTTCTTTAATCATCTAAGTTAATCGTGATAAACCTCACAATTGTTTTTGGACAAATTACAAAACATTTTTTCACATTGTAAAAGATATTTCCCAATATCAGTTTCTGAACCCCTATTATCTTTTCTTCTTGAAACGTGACAAAGGTTCCTTAATCACCAGTGAGCCAATATAATGAGGACTTGGATCCAGGGTGTGTGGGTGGAAATGGAACATACTCTGCCACCCTGTGTGATTCATTGACACGGCTGCAATCAATTCACCACATTGATTATTATCCAGGTCAATAAGATCCAGTCATTCAAACTTTATAGCATAAACCTTCAATCTGTTATCAGTGCAATGGAAAATCTTCCGGGAGAAAACATGAAGCTTGTATTTTCCGTTCACATACTTCAAAAGGAACTCTCTGAGTAAAACTGCACACTTTGCATGACTGAAAATTCTCAGCTGAGTGACCTTCGGATAGGGTCAAATTCACACATCAGTCCTCAGGGTGGTTGTTTGGTTAAACATTTATCCTGTGTTGTTCATTAAAACAAAATACCTTCTTTCTCTCCCAGGTTTCAACTGAAGCTACTTCTGCTTTTTCCTTTAAACAGCACGACCAAACACGTACACATTCAGTGACAAAACCCATCACACCACACCACAATGCACAAAGTCTACTGGAAGCATAACTAACATCAGCCTAATGGAAATATACACTAGATCAATAGTTTAAATGTTTTTTTTGTTTTTTTTGGGGGGGGTGATCCAGCATAAATGACTGTGCTATTTCGGCATACCATAAATGTTACTGCAGGATACACAAATGAGCCTGGTGTCCGAGCACAAGGAACTCTGTCTAAACCAGCCAGCATGTAAATGATGCAAACCCTTCTCACATGCTTGCCAATCATCAATAAAATGTATTTACCTAAACACACTCTGGGAACATGTTACAAACCCGAAGGAAAGAACTGATCAAAATAGCCCAGGCCACAGTCACCTACCTGGGCGAAGCAGAAAGCCACAGGGTACGGGTAGTGATACTGCGGGATGAAGATGCCGACCACAAAGTTTCTCAGTTTGTCAGCCAGGCCATAAAGGATCAAAACCACCACGCAGAAAGTGGGAAACAGTGGCTTCAGAGCATGATTTGATGAAAGCCTCTTTAGTGTGGATGCACACCGTCCCGTCCGCCATCTGCCTGAACTGCCAAACACATGAAAACAGGAAGCCACAGACTGTTCACACTGCAACATCAGAATCAATCCTAGTGAGACTTTATATCATTTAAATAGCATATGTAAAACAGAGTGCCAAGAATAAAATATACAACAGTTATATCAGGCAGGATTACCTTTTACCTAACAGACATGATGTCATTCTGTGCAGAAGTTGCTGCTCTGGATACTTGTGTGTTCTATCTGCAAATGGAAGAGTGGAAGTTCACCTCGTCAGGGATTCATTGTTATCACCAAAGATCAAAAAGGGAGTGTCAACCTGACCTATTATCTTTTATGAGGTGTACTTGATCATTTCCAACAGTAGATTATATATTCTGACAAATCTGTTATCTTAATAATCATCTGGTAACAGTGTTCTGTGAAATCTCTAATCAAGTTCAAACAAATTAAAAATGTATATCACATAAAGACAGAGATAATGTCAAAGCTTGTACTGTTTGTTTAAACAAATTTATCTAGGAGTTAACAAACCTAGTTAAGAATTCTTAATTTGAAAACCTGAAAGAAAAAAACAGCCATACCAAGTTTGTGATTCCTCCTAAAATTAAATCTCAACCATATGTCCGTACCAATTCCAACATCACATGCTGACATGATTAAAAAGCATTTACAGCAGACGTCTGACCGTCCGCCATCCTGCTCAGGGTGCCTTTGTGTTCGCCTGTGCTGTAAGAGGAGGACATTCACCTCTCTGCTTTTATCAAGTGGCCCGATGGACTTTGTCCCCGCTGTGTTTGTCCCCATATAATTAAAGAAGCCATCCAGTTAGCCAAATTTCAAAAGTCGCTTTTACCACCAAGCAGATAACATCTGTGGAATTCATTAAAGGTATCTGTTTGCTTACACATGGCATTACACATGAGGTGTCATAGATTTATTAGCCTTTTTTTCTTAAATGTCGTCATTTGACCTGCATTGATCAGTTTTGATGTATAATTACAAAATTGGTTGAGGAGGAAAAAATATCATTTTGGGCTTTAAAAGTTGTTTGAGACCCACCCCAAGCTTTATGTTCCCTACCCCCTCTCTGCTGGATCTCATGCTGCCACATGGCTGCATGGGAGAGGATCTGCATGGGTAAACACAGTCATTAGAGCGAGAGGATGGAGGTGTGTGCACCCTGAAGATCAGACAAACACAGCTGCAGCATGAAATGAAAGCCTATGATTGATCCAGAATATTAAAGTAACCGGCCCGAAAGCCTCCGAGAGCAGTCTGTTTTATTAATTATTTAACCTGAGACCTAATGGAGGATTGTGATTGATCACATATATAATTTTCCATATGTACACATAATAAAAACCAATATGTGTTTACAGTGATATAAGTGATGATTTATGTGTACGTGGTTTAATATAACCTGTATTAATTTCTCTAAGATAGTTTTTTTTTTCATCCCCCAAGTCGCCCAGCAGAGGACAGTCATTTTCTGTTTTAATGGTGGCAATAATTAAACTGTTCTTCAACCGCTGCCTCACAGGTTGGCTGCAAAAACCGGTACCAAGGAAACGGCTTAGCTATAGTGTTTATGATTTATGACAGCGAGCAATGAAAATACCACAGTGATGGAACCTCTGTAATAACAAACACATTATTCTTCAGTAGTGTTGGTGAATCTTTCTCATTTAAATGATTAAATATTAGTTTAAAAGATTACATTTAAATATTACATTAAAAAAATCTGTCTTTAACTTTCAGTTTTTGTCAAATAAGGACTTAATTGCTACCTATATCAAGATTTATCTGATAGAAACCAGTTAGCGCAATTGATACTGGGACTTCAACTCATTCTGAAGTTAATTTGAAGATTTCACTAGGCTTCAGTGTGCTCAGTATTTTATTATATTAAGCCACCTCAATAGCAACTTTAGTGTATAGTTCTATCATGCAAAAGCCATCCATCTTTATTTACTAAGATAATCACTTGGAGAAGTTACAGGTTTAAGAAGAATAAAGATTGTGGTAATTTTTATTTTAGAATCTAGGGAGGAGCAGCTTTTTTTTATTTTTGTACACAAATCCCTGAAATTGACCATTCAAATGTACAGCTCCTCAATACACTTGATCTTATCAACAGATATAGGAAGTATACATAGAAAGTTAAATCCCTATCCAGGGCATTGAATTTACATTTTCATTGTTCAGCCCCCACTTTTGCTTAGTTCAAGACTGCAGTTTGCAGTTGGGTTCTTTTGAGCAGTTGGGCAATTTTAATATCCAGTTAGGGATTTACTATTGCAACTCACTATTATCTGGGTTCATGTAAGCTACGGTGTATCTTACCAATGGCTTGGGTTATAAAAAGGTTTAGAGAGATTTAGAGAATAAGGCTAAAATATAACAAAGAAAAATAATCTAATACTACGAACATTAAACACAGTTTAAGTGATTGCGGAATGCCATGCTTAGTCTGTGTGATGGAAAAACAAGGCAGTAAAATGCTGTGCACACCATCTGAACTCAGTTTAATTAAGTTTGTTTGGCTCACATATGGCTATACAGATGTGAGTTTTTTTTATTGAGAGCTCTCAAACCAATAACACCATTAGACAAGTCTAATAAACTGCAATGCAACAGGGGTCATGACAGCAAACATCACAGCGGGAATAAAGGCCAGAAGGCCGGTGTTAATGAGTGGAGGGGCCGAGGCTGAACGAGAGTATTAGGAAGAGATGAGGGGCATGTCAATATACAAAGTGTTTTAATGGGAAAACAAAGACAAAATAATCACTCAAACTTTGAGTCTTGCAATATTAATCTTACGTGAATATTTTACCCATTAAGGTTTTATGGTCAACAGTCATACGTTTATGTTTTTCATCCTGTTGAGCCACAGTTGTGCTGTGTATTTACAAACATTCATAAACTTTTTCCAAGATTTCCCTATAAGCACGTTTTTGCCAAGTAAACAGTCTGCATGTTATCCCATAAAGGCCTTCTGCTGAATGACTTTAAGGAGATGGGTGTTCTGCTGTGCTCGTCAGTTGTTTTACTGGTTTTGCTTTCTTAATTTTTTTATCACTAATTGTGATCAGTACTTTTCATGCTGATACAGTAATTTCCCAGCTCCCCCCTCAGGGCAACAAATTGTTCTGTTGGAATTTGCCATGTGCTTGGATTATGTGGACTTCTGGTTTTCTTTGCTTTGACACATGTGTCTGAACTTATTTCATTGGGTGGTTTAAAGGTCGGGCAGACCAACCCAGATCGCAGCATTTTGGGAAATCCTGGAGAGGGGATCTTCAGCTTTCCACCACATGTGGTCTAACTTTAACATGAGTGGCAAACTTTTAGTGGTCTTTTGCAGAGACTGGAGTAAACTGCCCCACATCGTGTGTCTGTGGCCTCACAAGGTCATAGCTAATTAAGTTAAATTAACCCAACAGTAAAGTTTGAACCTGTCAGAAATGTGCAGTAGAGTTGGTTGAATCTTCCTCACAGAGCACAAACACTGGGTTCACATCAAACCCAAACTACTTAATGCAAACCTCAGCTCCTGAAATATGAAGCAACACACAGCTCTGAATGATGTGATAGTGATATTTGAGTAGGTCAGTTTTTTAACCCTGGGTTGACATTTCAAAGTTACAAATGTGAATGGGTCACGCTGCCTTCAGGGACAGGGAGAGAGAGCCTGAGGCTGCAGGACGTTTTCTACACGTGGCACATGGGTGACGTTAGTTTGCACCATTTCCTCCACAACACCCCAAAATAATTCTCCATGGTCGAGTCACTGCGGGTCAAGACAGCTACAGACACCTCCCCTAGCAATTTACGACAGCCCCCAGTCTGAGTGGGGAACCGTACGCATGAGTCTGCACGTAGCAAACTTTTAGAAATCCAGCCCCGGCTATCAGGCGGCCAACTGCGCACAGAAACATCACGAATAGGAGGAACCACCGGAATCCCCACACCGTTAACTCCCCCCGAGCCCGGTCGAAGGCAGACTTCAGAGGACACATTTCTGCTGCGAACCCATGCCCTGGACGAGGTAAACAACCGCCTTCCGAGAGAGTTTAGGCGAGAAAGTCAAGCCTGTGCAACCCCTCAGATATAGGCAGCGGCGTCCGCTTTTCCACTGAGTGTTGCTGTTAGCGAAACCCGTCACAACACAGATTTGTCAACGGCTCAAACTTGTAGCTGTAAGCTAGCTGTGAGCTCGCTGCTGGCCACGGCCTTCAACGACAGTCGTTGCAAGCGGCAGAGAAAAGTAAGACGTGTTTTGTGACGAACTTAGTCAAATTGAGTCAAAGTGGAGGTGGCGTTTAGCCCGCTTTGCTGTTGTGTTTGTGTGGAGGGAGGCTGCATTCCTGAGCGGCGCGGCGTGGGATGCTGCCAACGCTCTCCGCGCTCTTTAGACCCTTATCAGCAGCTGTAATGTGATATTAAATCGTTTTTATGCTCGGTCACATGTCCCACGTAAAGACTCGCTGATGTGTACCGGCTTCGTCACGGTTCTAATGCCCGCGAGAAGTTCAGTTTTCAGCAGAAACGGAATTCTTCCAGAATTCTCCATTCGGCTAATTGAACTTGTTTTGACCTCGGGGCTAAACAGGCGGCACCGTCTACCTCCCACAGAGGGACGCCTCCGCTTATGGAGGCCATTCGGTGCGTTTTCCTGCGGGTTTGTGCAGGTCCAGTCAGACTCCATTGGACGCTGCGCAGTCCTCACATGAGCTTCCTTCGCGGGGAGGAGCGAAGACGTGGCAGTCCATCCACATTTCCATCCACATCCTGTGCTGTCTGACTCCATGAAAAGACCGAAGAAGGCGTTTGTCAGCGGCTTTAAAAAAAACCTTTAATCTGCAAAGATGTCACTGCAAAACGAGACATCCGTAAAAAATGCATGGCATTTTATGTGCAGGCACCAAATGTAAATATCTGCGCATGGAAATGTGCCAGTTGTGTGGATAGCATTGTTCTCTAGCATTTAGATGTTTGTGTTTAAGATAGAACCGTAAAGCAGAATGCTGATGTAAAATATGGAAAGTTTAGAGAAAAAGATGCATTTGATAAAGCAGGAAAGATTTATTTATGGTTGAATTTAAATTATTTAAACTTCAAATGACAGGGTAAGGTGGATCAATCACTTGTGTGGCCTGACTTATGGATCAAAATGATAAGCATTACCTCTGCTTTAATCCTCCTTCAGCAGTAATACAGAACACACTGGAGTTCTCACCTTGTTATTACAGCAATTCCACAAATGGCATTCTCCAAGCCTTTCCCTTGATCATTACTGAGTAACTCCAAAGTTTATAAAAAAAACAGAGGCAGTACTTAAGTGTAATGATAAACTTAGGCTTTACTATGCAGTTTTTGGGACGCATTACTGTGCTGTTTCATTTGACCTGAATATGAGATTCCATGATACTGTTGTTTTTTTTGTTGTCATTTGTAGAATCCGTGCTGCCAGCTGCTGACCTCAATTGAAATACCACAAGTCATTCTTTTTTACTTTCACTCCAGGCTTGAACTTGTGGCAAAGTCAAAACCTGCCCAATCCTGTTGTCTGCCTCCAGTAAAAAGTGCCACATGTTTTCTAGCTTGCACCTTTACTCATTTGCCTCCAGCATAGGAATTAAGTAAATATTTTCCAATTTTACTTGACTTGTCAATATCTACACAGCAAAAAAGGGACATCGTTTTTACTCTATTTCTTCCAAATCGTGTCGCATGGTGTTGTCTGCTGGTGTTGACAAGCTAAAGTGGACATTTTAGTCTACCATTAGGATTTCTGCTGTTGTCTTGTTTCAATTAACAGATACACATCCAAATTTAGTGTTCATTCAGTCGGCGTTGTCTTTACATTTGTGTTGGAGCATGCAGAAAAGTCCCGTTGGCATTGCTTTGTGTTCAAGATTTTTCTAGGATTAGAGCCAGTGCAAATCCAGGGCTGACCCAGACATAGCAACAGAAACCACTGACTTATATTTGGATTTATGAGGAAAATGAGGGACAGGATTTCTGAAGCCCTCTTTAGGATCACAGGCTGGATTACAATATATAACTAGCTTTATATAGTTTTCCTCATTGTGTTTTGCTTTGGAATCCAGTCCCTGATTTTATGATAAACGTAATGATGTGTTCACATACAGGTAAAATGTTCCAAAAAAGGTTCGGTTTGACATCAGGGGCATTTGTGTTCATTCAAGGGTGCGAACCATTTATGTTTTTCACATATAAAATTCCTATAATTGTCGAAAATTCATAAAGTTTGTTGGAGGCAGTTTTTATTGTTATTATCATTATTAATATACATTTATTGGAGCAATTTTCTGCTGGAGAACAGAGGACCTTTGTATTTTTAGGGCTAAGTGATGGTAACAGCCTGGCCAGTGTTAGTAGAAACACAAAAAGGTCAACAAGAAAACTGCAGTGAGGTTGATAAGGGAATGTGATAAACATGTGATTTGTAATGTCCCTAAGGTTAGATTTTTACTTTGAGAAACAAAGATTTGTGTAAATTTAACTTGTGATTATGTATGTGGTTCAGTCATAACAATGTGACATCACTCTGAGTGGTGACTGGTCAGATGGGAAGATGTGAGAACCAATAAATGAATTAAATGGTTTGTCAATGAATAAATTAAATTGTCTATAAAAAAAATGAATGAAACAGTTTATCTTACTTTGTCACTTTTTCTGCAGGATGGAGCTCCCGTGTTGGTGTTTATTGTTATTGAGCTGCCTGGAGTCACTCTCCGCTCACAATGACTTCTTCACCTCCATAGGTAAAACTATGTTTTAAAACTGAGTTAATTTATGCATGTGCTTTTCTCTTTGCTTAGCTGTGCAGAGAGAACCCCAATAAAATGTGTATAATGCAGCATTTTGGTATTACTATTAATATTTATTTCCTTTAGGTCACATGACAGATCTGTTATACACAGAAAAAGACCTCGTCACTTCTCTGAAAGACTACATCAAAGCAGAGGAAAATAAACTAGAGCAGGTCAAACGGTGAGTTTTTGGCCTCAGTATTCCTCATATTTTTTGGAATACAACAAAAAAAGTTACAGCCACCTTTATTATGATGGGCTGTCGTGCAGCATTTGAAGTCTAACAGCTCAAGTTTGAGTTTTTTCTGGACACGTTTGTATAAGTTTGTACGTTGTATATTTCAGAGGTAGAGTCCCCCCCTTTTTTAATGAGATCATGGAGTTAAGGATCATTTAAATCTTTCAAATTAGGTTTTGGGGCTCAGTTGGATGACATCATAATCACAACTCCTTTTATCCTCAGAGGTGGACATTTGCCCACTATGACAGATATAACTTAAAAACAGAGGGGTAGAGAAATTGGAGCTGGGCCTTTATGCTTTATTATTCAGATGCACCTCCATGTAGTGGACTGTGTGTCTGTATTTCATGTGGGAAAACCACTGTCCAGTGAAGCTGGACAAAGACCATTTACATGTGGAGGGAGGTGTCAAAACTTGCCATCTCTGGTTTATACCATCGTGCTTATGTACATTAAACAGATTATCGCATGACTTCTTAGTACATAACCCCACTGCAAACCTAAGTGCACAATACATTGTGGTTAGAGGAACATATTCTTAAATTACTCTGCTTGTAAAATTATGGAAGCTAAAGTTATGCTGCAGAACCTGAGAAACCTACCAAATTTTGGGCTGTGTATCTGTTCTTTGTAAAACCCACATTTTGACAATGATCTGCAAATTATTTCTTGTGCATTATGTTTCGGTAATCATGGAACTTAACTGATCCTCCTTGTGACAGGTGGGCGGATAAGCTGGATTCTTTGACAGCCACAGCAACTCAGGACCCAGAGGGTTTCCTGGGCCATCCTGTCAATGCCTTCAAACTGATGAAGAGGCTGAACACAGAGTGGGGGGATCTGGAGAGTCTTGTGCTTAAGGACACCACTGATGGTATGGTTAAAAAAAGACAGGCTAAATAATGACTCCACAAAGTTGTGTTCCCGTTTGCTGCACTGTGCCAAAGTTGGGTTTTGGTGGCAGAATGTGTTTTGACTGGTCACTGAGCTGCATTTGGAATGACTTTTGGAACTTACAGTTATCTCCAAAGAACAATTTTACCTGATGTTCTGAGTGATATATTTTAGTATCGAAGCACATCGTTGCCATGTACATTTGTCGCCGTCGAGATTAAACTGACCAAAGATGTATTTATTGTAAATTGGGTCAGCTGTTGTGTTCTTACTGCAGAAAGTTTCACCTGTCCCATCTGACTCTTGCAGGATTTATTTCCAACCTGACCATTCAGAGACAGCACTTTCCCTCAGAGGAGGATCAAACTGGCGCTGCTAAAGCTCTTCTCCGGTTACAAGACACATATAAACTGGATGCTAACACCATCTCCATAGGAGACCTGCCTGGTAAAATCCTTAAATTAATGCACCACAGACACTACAAAGTTTACAAGCCCCTTTTTTTCTTTATAATGTTAATTGTATTATGTCTGTTCATTCTCAGTAGAAATAACAACTATGTGGAGAGACTACTGTAATTTAATATGATATTTTTAATCTCTTGTTCAAACCAGGAGTGAAGCACAAGAGCAAAATGACGGTGGAGGATTGTTATGAGTTGGGTAAAATAGCTTATACTGACGTGGATTACTACCACACAGAGCTGTGGATGGTCCAGGCCCTGAAACAGCTCGATGAAGGAGAGGAGTCCACTTTAGATAAGGTTACTGTGCTGGACTACCTAAGTTATGCCGTCTACCAGCAGGGAGAGTTAGAGCGTGCACTGGATTACACAAAGAGGCTGCTACAACTTGGTGAGTCCCTCCAGAGACATTAAATATCTTTCTAACTTTTACATATAGATTGGGCAGTGTGTTTTCCTGACAGATCTACTACTCAATGTATTCCTTTTTTATGGTTCATATAATAGTTGATCTAGTTTCTAAGGATTGAATAAAGGGCTAACTGTGTTAGAATAGAATATAATTAGGTTGGTAACTTGATGTTCAATGTGGTGTTTTGGGTGACATCCATCAGTATTTCTAATCACTGCTGGCGTTTCCATTTTTTTGTCATTTTTAGATCCAGAGCACCAGCGTGCTAAAGGCAACCTGAAATACTTTGATTTCCAGTTGGAAAAGCAGAAAAAGGCAGCGGATGAAAATCCTCAGAAAGAGAAGGAGAGAGGGAAACGACAAACGACAAAGACAGAGAAGAGAAAGTTTTCCAAAAAGGCTCTCTCACTGATTCCTGAGAGGGCGAAGTATGAGATGCTTTGTCGTGGGGAGGGTATCAGAATGGTGAGGAAGATGATGCCATCCCACAAAAAAAAAAACTAACTTATAAATCCAGGCCTATTCACTTTTGGTTTGCTTCTGTTGTCTCTCAGACACCCCGCAGACAGAGCAGGCTCTTCTGTCGTTACCATGACAACAATCACAACCCCCACTATGTGCTGGCACCTGTTAAACAGCAAGATGAGTGGGACCACCCCTACATCGTCCGCTTCATTGACATAATCTCAGATGAAGAAATTGAGATGGTCAAGCAGCTGGCAAAACCCCGAGTAAGTAATTCCGGGCAGATGAGTGCGTTCCACAGCTCTGGTTGGTTTAGCCAGTTCAGGGTGGGTCATTGGAGAGGCGCTCACACAGGCATGCACCTTTACATGTGTGTGCATCTGTGTGTGGGTAAATCATGTCCCTGGCTTCGCAGCTGCGCAGGGCAACCATCTCCAACCCCATCACTGGAGTGCTGGAGACTGCTCCTTACAGGATCAGCAAAAGGTAAGACAGAGCCAGAAGCTGCCGCAGACGGAGCACAAGGGAGGAAACCGAGAGGGACCCCCTCCTTTCCCCCAAAAAAACTCCCATTTCTATACTCCCGTCTCTCCAGAGCTCCATCTCTCTGCCCCTTAAAAGCTGGAAGGCCCTTGAGCTGAAACACAGAATCCTACTGAGACTAAGGATTTATTCTGCTTATGTAGATATCTGTGGACTTACTCGTTTACAGAGCGAATACAATGCAATTTTACCATCTTATGGGATCGTTTGGAGTGCAATGTGTAATGTTTTCGGGATGTCTTTGTGGATATGTTTTTGCTCAGGAGTCTGGTAGAAAAAGGTAACACAAAAAATTGAGAAAAGGAAAATGTGTTACTCATTCTACTTCTTAAAATAACATAGTTGCTTTTGGACCAGTAGGTGTGTCTGAGGATGACCTATGAAATTGACTATTTTGAATGAAGATATCAATTCCAGCGTTGTCTCGTGGAACACTCTGGTCCCTCTTATGATTAACATGGAAACATAGTGACCGCATTTGCCTTTCTTTTTTCTCCCTGTCCCTCCTCTTATTCTTTTCATTCTTTGTGTATCGTTTTCCTTCCCTTTTCCTCTTGTTTTATCTTTTCCTCCTCTTTGGTGTGCTTCTGGAACTGCTGTAGTTAAGGCGAGCCACGGTGCATGACCCCCAAACTGGGAAACTTACCACAGCCCATTACAGAGTCTCCAAGAGGTAAGGGGTTACAGGACACCAGGAAGACGTCAGTGCCTTCCCCTTCTCTTCATCACAACTTTGTCATTGTGGACTGTCTGAAGCAGCTGTTTGGCTATGCACCCAGAAATTATGATAAGAAGAAATGAAAATGGCTAGCAACACATGTAAAGCTAACAATAGAGGTTTTTAGAACCTCTGTTATTGGTTTTGTTGTGGCTAACATCTTTCATTTTACCAGGCAGTTTTGGTATTTTCATGGAACCTTGATTGAACCTGCATTTACCCTACGGCCATTTGACCAGGATACCTCCATATCTAATTCGAAGGAACAATATCTGCTTATAGCAGCTATGGTATCTAGTTTAAGTACTTCAGTATCAGCAAGACAAGTGACAGAACTTCCAGGGTTATTGAAAGAATGGGCAAAACCTTTTAGATACAAACATCAACTTTAGACGAATTTTCTTTCCTTAATAGACAAATGACCAAATGGACTTTAGAGACGTGACTGTGCTGAATTTGAACACCATCTTAAAAATAGCAGAGCTCAACAACCCACACAAATCCTCACGTCTCTGGTTTTTCTGCTCTTGGTTATTAATGCACATGTGTGGGGTTGTGGCTGTAAGGGTGTGGTGTCCCTTTGATGTTATTTTTTTTTATTTGTGCTGACCAGACAGCAAATTTTTCCAAACAGTTGAAGTGTGTGAATAAGAAAAAATAGACAGGATCAAGAACAGAGTTACCCCCCTTTGGCTGTGAAATATGTAGGTACAAGAATCCACCGGCTTATGTCTGATCCAGCAAACGATCCTTTTGCACGTAAAACTAACACTTACTTCAGATAGCAGAAGATGTCTGTCTTCTCTCAGGTGTGCGAGGGGTTTTTCCTTCACGGCTTCGGCACTTATTAGATTAGCGATTGATTCTGACACGGTATTGGAAAGAATTGTTAGCTGAACTTGCTACTTTTGGATATTTCTCTTACTTTTTCAGGGTAAAATGTAAACTGCAGTTGGACTTTGTTTTAACTGAAAACTAAAGAGGAACTCCATGAAAATATTCTTGCCCTTGTCCTTTACCAAATTCCTGAACATGTCTTCAATCCTGTACCCTGAGCTGACTGGAGATTCTAATTTCAAATCTTGGAATTTTTGCTGTTTTCCATTTTGCTCACACATTTACTTCACTTTTCTGTTATAGAAGTGAATGCACACAACTTTTCAAGAAACTTTTTATTGCATGTTGCCGGCATGGCAAGCTTTTTGCCTTCTGAGGAAGAAGCTCTACTGCCATCTAGTGGACAAATGTTGATCTGAAAGAAATACTTCAGACTCTTTTATTTACTTTCTCTGCTTTCTTTCCTGCATTCCAGTGCTTGGCTCACTGGCTATGACGATCCTGTAATTGATAAGATAAACCAGAGAATTGAAGATCTCACAGGCCTGGAAATGGACACAGCTGAAGAGCTGCAGGTAAAAAGTTATCTGGAGGTTGCAGATAGAATCCTATTTTCTATGAAAACTGAATCTTCCTGTCTCTGATTATATATTGGGTCCATATCTCTATTTTATTTTCTCTTTTAGGTTGCAAATTATGGTGTTGGAGGTCAATATGAGCCTCACTTTGACTTTGGCAGGGTATGCTCTACACTTCTGAGAAAAATCCATTCTTGTGGTCTTAAAATGAAGACATAACATTTATCCTGTTACTGGTTGTCTGTGGACAGAAAGATGAGCCAGATGCCTTTAAGGAGCTGGGAACTGGGAACCGCATTGCAACTTGGCTCTTTTATGTAAGTACACCCTTTCGTATCTCAGCTAAAGACCTGCATTTGTTGACTTTAGAACAATTACAAACTTTATTCAATAAGAATAATACATACTTCCATGTAGCTTTTTCATGTTTATATATATTTAGTAGGATATCTGTTTAAAATGATGTTATTACACTTTTTCAGTCTGGATTTAATGCCCTAGTGGCTCAATTACCAGCCCAAAGAAAATGTGGGAACTTTTTACGCAGGGATTATTTTCTCTATGCAACTCATTAGAGTGGGAAGTCACAAGTGGACTTTTATCTGTCCAACAAATGTGAAAATGGTAAATACTAGCTAAAGGAATTTAGGTTAAAGCATGCAGTGCTTTGTAAACGGGTGCAACAACTAAAGTTTAATGTATTATCAGTGTTTTCCTGAAAGACTTCAGAATAATGTTCCTTTGAAAACGTGTTTCTCGTCTTTTTTTCCTCTTTGGTGTAGATGAGTGATGTCGCTGCAGGTGGAGCTACAGTTTTCCCCGATGTTGGTGCTGCAGTTTGGCCTCAAAAGGTACTCATCTGACAACACATCAATTTCTATAGCAGTGATTAAGCTGCAGTGATTTAATTCAGCCTTATAATTAGACAACTTAACACAAATTCTGCACTTTCAAATTGCAGGTGTTTTGAAGAATTGTACAAAAAAATAAACTCATTGATACACTGACTGAAATCCACACATTTCTGAACCTCTGACAGATCTATCTTCATACAAAATGGGGTTCATGCTGAAAAATTGATGGCCTGTTTTTTTTGGTCCTGCCATTATTTGGAGATGTATCGGAGCTCCTGCTAAAGCATTTCTCAAGTGCACATTCAGATCCTGAACTGATCATTTCAGTGACCAGATTTCAGACTGACTCACCTGTGGAGGGTGTAAAGAGCTGCTCATCTCTTGTACGTTTCAGGGATCTGCTGTGTTCTGGTACAACCTGTTTGCCAGTGGCGAGGGAGACTATAGCACCCGGCATGCAGCTTGTCCCGTGTTAGTGGGAAATAAGTGGGGTGAGTATGAAAAATGAAAACTGAGTAAATATCAGAGGGAAAAGTGTTTTTTTTTCTGTTTACTTTTGTGTCCTGACTAACAGTGGAAGTGGTCCAGAATTCCTAACATTTCTCCGTCTTATTTTTATTTATTTAATCTTTTTAAGTATCCAACAAGTGGATCCATGAACGAGGCCAGGAGTGGAGGCGGCCCTGTGGCCAGAATGAAACTGAATGACAGAAGATAACCTCCCCATCCAATTCCCTTTCCTCTCTCCTCTTCTTTTCAAACCACCAAGCACCAACGTACGCTGTTTCGGTTCACAGATGATGTATGGGGTCCAAACGACTCAATCCTACTTTTCAAACACACTTTTTTTGTCTTTTCCCCCATGGTAGTCTCCATTCCCAGAGATTGTCTTGGTTAACTAAGCTACTGGACTGTATCAGCATCTCGGTGACAAAAAACATGTTTTTTAGATTGAAAGATAGTTTTAAGAAATTTTTGAAAGTTTTTTACTCCCATGTGTTTTTATAAAAAAATATTTGCACTTTTTTTTTCTACAGCTTTGTGATGAGACCATCTTTCTGTAGGGCCGAACTGTTTCTCCTTGTGTTTGAACTTCAAAGGGACGGTTCACATTTTAAAAGCCTTATCTGACTGGTTCTGTTCAACAGATTGAATTAATGTTTCATTTAAGTCTTGTACTTTGATATTTTAAATGAAAATTCACCATAGTTGTGAAAGACTTCCTGAAACTGTGTTCATTTAAATGTAGTTTTTAGTGCCAGTGCATGATAAAAGTCATTTTGGGGCACTGTACAGAGAGGTCCTGTTTGATGCAGCCCTTTTTTAGTGAGTCTAGTAGCAGATAACATCAAAACTTTCTGAGTTTCAGTCCCCTCTCCAGAGCACACACAGATTGGAAGGTGACTCTGGCGAGAACTCACTTCGAAAGGCACATGGTGTCCAGCAGAACCAGATAACATTTGCCAAGTCCTGACCTTGTGTTTTGTTTTGTTTTTTTAATTTCTTGTATTTTGAGCAAACATGTTGTTCAGAAGAACTTTGCTTTATGACTTTATAATATAATACCACACACAAAGTTAAATGAATTGGATCTTTTCTTGGTTTTATATGGTTTCTTAAGTTGCTGGCTGTTAAGAAAGACGTCAGTCTTTTGTTGTGAATAAACAAAATATTACAGAATTTACAGGGGATAACCAGTACAGATTTTTGTTTGATGCCAAGACTATGCAACACTTTTTAAGATGACATGCATGTTGTTGGTTTGCTTCTTTGGTTCACTCTTTAAATTTTTTTTACACTATGGCCTGTTACACACCTGCATGATGTGTTTATAGACTCACATTTAGTGACATTTAAATGCAACTACAAAAAAAGATGCAGAAAATTCAGTGTTTTGTTTTCTAAATGTAAGTTGATATGTGATCATTCTGATTGTTAAAAATGTGGGAGACAGTCGGTGGGTGTCTGCTTTGGCACACAGAGACGAACAGCACGGACACCAGGTGAAGGGGACGCCATGGGGGTCTTGAATGCGGTTTTTGATCAGTGGTTGTTGTGTGGGTTGTCCACACTGGCCCACCCTTGTAGTGAGAGAATGCAGATTCTATCACGGAGGAGACATTTTATTTATAAGTCCAAAACCATTTCTTTGTGTTTTGTTATGTGCAAAATAAACGTCTGAAGTTGTTTTTATCTTTTGTTTTTTCTATAATAAAGACATGAAGATACACTGCTTTCTTTTTAGTTGGCTTGGAGGGGTGTGTGTGCTTTGGAATTTGGGGGAAGGTATGAGGGCGTCACGTGACTGTCCAGTACAAACATGCTGTCATTTGCTCAGCCGTCGCAACCAGGGCTGGACCTCTACCAGGTTAGGAGGACAAGGGCAGCACGGAAGAGAGAGAGAGAGAGAAGCAGCAACTCTTGAAGAGGAAAGTCAGGAAACTATCCCGTCCACTGCATTACATCTCATCACACATCTGCGAGGATAACGCGCGTCTGAGTACTCAAGGAAAAGAACAAAAAACGGCACAATGATGATGACCCAGATGGAGACAACGGTGCACTATGACAACGGCTACGAGGAAGAGTACATGTTACAGGAGGATGAATGGGACAGGGACATGCTGCTGGACCCTGCCTGGGAGCAGCAGCAGAGGAAAGTATGTCGTTTTCCATTTTAAATCATGAAATTATATCTCAGCTTTCTTACTTTGAACAGCTGTCAAAGAAAGATGTGGAAACGTTGCCACTGTTGCCTCCCCACATTACAATATTTATGATATTTTTCTTTCCAGAAAGTAGAAAACATCATTTTCTCACTCAAAGCGTGCAGATTTTTTTTTTTTTAAGTGTCGAGAAATAAAACTAGTAAAAGTTAATTCTGCGCAGCAGGTACTATGATTTCCGTTTCTCAACAAAATAAAACACGTTGAAGCATTGTTAAGGAAGGCTGGCAGCTAAATGCATCTGCTTCTTCATGGTAATTAACATTGAACAAAAAGAAAAAAAAACTGTTTCAAAACTGTAAGGATGTTTTCACCGTTCATAGTGAACATTGAATATTTTGGATAATTTACTCAATAGTACAGTACAATTGGTAAACAATGGAATCCAAGAAAAGTGAATGTGAAATACGGGACACAGAAGGAAAAACAGAAGTTGGAAGCCATCGGCATTACTAGCCAATGCCAGAGTAACAACATTTTACACTGAAATGATTACCATGGAGATGGAAAGAATGACCAAATTTAGACATAATGGTGAGAAGGGAATGAAAGCACCTGGTCGATACATAAAAATGATACAAAATGTCAAAGATGAGACACAAATGACCAAAAGATAGATGCAGTCTGTGGAAATTCAGACGAAATCCTTGAAGATTGGAAAAGTGGTGGTATAGACACATGAGGAGATGCAGTGTTACCATAAACTGACACAAACCCAAGAAATTGCGAGGGTACAAAACTACCAAAGCTCATCTATATTATTATGTTGTGAGACATGTGAGAAATAGCCCAGTGAGAAACAAAACACGACAAAGACAGAAACTAAACTATACAAAGAAAATAGAATGACAATGTTGCAAAGCACATGCAATCATTGAATGAGGCCTTTTACATCTGTACCTTGGAGAAACTTTTCCCTTAATCTACCCCTGATGTCAACTCTTTACACCAAACTCTGAAAAAATAACTTGAAATCACCAAACTGAAGTTACTGGAGCCAATTCCCCCACTCCCACACACATCAGAAAGCTCATGTATGACTTTAGTGTGAAACATGGCCTCCCCCCGCCTGCCTCGGTAGTTAGGTCCCGCTGGCTTGACTCCGCTTGGGAGCAGAGAGGGCGGCTTGATGGACGGATGCGGCGGGTACCAGCTAACAATAGCCCTGCCTTCCGGTGGCCCTGCAGACTGCTGCCTCTCCACTGATACGCGCGGAATGCGAGCTGTCAACAGATGCTTCTAACGCACGATGACGCTCTTGGGATTAGAATGGACGCTGCGGCTAATTTTAACCTGGGGACCAAAAGGCATTATAGTTGGGTTAATCCAGTGTCCTTGCCGCGGAATTCTTTTGTTCATAGGCACCATGCAGAGATATTGTACCAGGACCAGCTGGGCTCAATATAGCCGAGGCCTCCCACAATGTGGATTGGTTTTAGGGCTTTAAAATTTGGCTTGGGCCTCAAACTGCAGCTCTCTGAGCCTCTGAAGGCCATCAACTCCATGCCCCTCCTAACCTCCCGTAGGATGACAGTATGTGTATTTTTGTACACACAGTCAAGAAACATGATTGCAGCCCGCACTTCCATGAATACAGGACTTTTGGTCATATAAACAGTTATACAGTATTTTGGAAGTGAAGAGTGTTCCTCTGAGAGTGCTTGTCTGTGTGAGCAGATGTGCAAAATAATCAGAGTAGATAAAGCATCACTAATGGCTGGAAATTGTAATGTGGCACTTTCATTTGGCACTGTTTGCGCTCTAGCTTTACTTCACTACGAGCAGCAGTGTTGCCAAAAGTGTTTTTGTTTGCTCCATGAAAGGCTGCTCTTTGTCACTTTGAATAATTTCACTTATCAAGATGTGATGCAGGAGGCAGGTTGAAAAAAAGCTCTCTTCCAGTGGATATTAATGTTGCTTCTACGGAGCTTCAGTCAACCTGTCACCTGACTCAGGTTTATCAAGGAGATCGATTAATACCACGGCGCCCAGTCATGTTCCAGAGCCAGAGCTGCACTGCCTTGGACCTGTTTTATTAAGAAAAACTGTACAGGTCTTATGAATATAAGTAATCCGTATGTTATTTTGTACTTTTAATCAGAATAAAAGCAGCTTGAGGAAGCAATGGGATCTGTTGATGATGCTCAGCCTCTCCAACATGTGAAGCATCCATTTTAACATTTTCCATTCTCCTGAACACAGCCTGCCAGCCTCTTCCCTGATGAGGGCCCCAAAGGCATCACTCAGTCCAGTGACAGGGATTGATCCCCACTGGATGTGATTCATGAATATTTTTAGCTGTAATCGTCACTGGGCAGTACTGCTGGAGAGGCTAGGCGTGCTTGGAAAGTGGGCAGTCGTGTTCTGCGACAGAGGCTGAGTCCAATTTGGAGGACCAGCGGGCCACGTTTTTTTTTAACAAGGAGGACAGCAGTACAATGTCACATACAGCCGGGGGGCTCAGAGAGTGGAATGTGTTGGCCTTAACTCTAAAGCCTGTAATATTCGCTTTTGCTCCAGCACCCAAGGGAGAAGTCTGAGTGAAACTGGGCACCCGTCTGCAGTCCAGCTGAGTGCATGAGGGCTAAAATATTGTTAAACCCTTCAGTGACATGCCATTTGTTAGAGCACATTTCAGTCACCATTTATTCTTAAAATCAGTGAGAGGAAAAACCTACCTGAGACATAACTACCTCTGCATGTTTGAAGGTTTAGTCTTTAAGTGAAAAAGTCAGTTCCTTTTATGCCAACATTTTTTACACTTTTAAGAAGAAGCGACATTAAAACAATTTCTTTTAAAAAGGAATTTTCATAATTATTAGGTACTGAAAACAAGTTTCTGGTTGTTTTTCTCATTGCCAACATTAAATACATTAACAACACTGTGCTGAATGTGTATAGCAGTTAAGCTAAAATAGGCCAAATGTTTGACGAAATGCATGTTGAAGTAAAGTTAATTGTTCTCTTTCAAATCCAGGACTTGCCTCCATTATTTTCAGAATGACTTTTTCCTTTTTAGGAAAGAATATAAACGGTAAAACAATAAATAAATAAATCTCAACCCCCAGTGAGGGAAACTAAAATTTGTAAGTGTCTCAAAAGTTCAAATATTCACAATTATTTAATATTAAAACAAATCATATACATCAATAATAATAATAATGATCCTAGTATTATCATAATCTAAAAAAAACAGTTATAAGTCACTGTTAATAGCTGATGACTATTTGAGTAACTGTAATTAGAAAGTTTCCAAGTGCTTCTGAAACCCCACCAGGAAGAGCAAAGAACCATACAGCTTTACAATCTGTTGATCAGCTCAGTGATTCAAATAGCTTTCATGCAGCATTAAACTTTATGATCAGCTCATTAAATCAGTTCTTTAACCTGCCTATCATCACAGCCAAGGTAATACTTGTGACCTGGACGAAGAGCATACATGCTTTGAGATAGAGCTATCTGAAAGCGACTGTGGCACATCAACATTATATTTTAAGTGGCAAAATAGCGAGAGAAAGTGACGTTAGAGGAAAACTTGTTCTCTAACCATGTGACATTTTCAGTCATGTTGACATGGAATGACGTTTTGACGTTTTCCCTCTCGGCCTCTTATCGTGAGCCACAGCAGAGCAGTCTAAATTTAACACCTTATATCAGCAGGAATGTGCTCTGGTCGGCCCCCAGCTTTCATCTGCACAGTGCTGAACATCAACTCTGCTGTTGGCAATTGGGAGACTATATAAAAATAGGAGAAAGATTATGATCCTGTCTTAACTTGATTTACAGTATTTCAGGATGCCACATAGAGTACATTTGTTCTGATTGGTGTTAGCTGGGGAGCTATTGTAGGAAAAGTTGAAATTGGACTCTAATGTGACATTGGAGGCTAACCTGGTCAAAGGTTAACATCCCTCTAGAATGTAGTCTTGTTATGAATGCTTGTTAAGCTGTTAGCTCCCACAGTTTTGTTAGTTTAGATTTGCCTTGGTTATTGCATAATATCTTTATTGCCTGTTGGCTACGTGTAAATTAATGTTATATTTTCATAAAGGTTTTAAGGTGATAAAAGAAAACACAACAGAGGAAATCCTTTCTTAATGGATGGGTTTAGTGCTTTGTTACAAATGCATGATATTCAGTCAAATTTGAACTGACCTGGGATGCCTTTCCTGTCAGACCTTCACAGCCTGGTGTAATTCTCACCTGAGGAAAGCCGGAACTCAAATCGAAAACATTGAAGAAGACTTCAGGAATGGATTGAAACTCATGCTGCTTCTGGAGGTCATCTCAGGTTAGAACACAAAAGGAAGCAAGTCCTCTTGTTTCCACATCACAGTGATTTTTTTTCTTATGACTTCAGCTGTCTGACACATTTGTTCTTGTTTGCAGGAGAGAGGCTACCCAAGCCAGACAGGGGGAAGATGCGGTTTCATAAGATTGCTAATGTCAACAAAGCATTGGAGTTCATCACAAGTAAAGGGGTGAAACTGGTCTCCATAGGAGCAGAAGGTACCTTCTGTTGGAATGAATATAACACGGACCACCTTGAGTTCATAAGGATGCATATTCAGTATTGAGATGATCTTTAGTTCGGTCTTTTGGATGTTTTTAAAAACAATTTTCTTTTGAAATTCAGAAATTGTGGATGGGAATGTGAAGATGACACTTGGAATGATTTGGACCATCATCCTCCGCTTTGCCATTCAAGACATATCTGTGGAAGGTAAGAGAATCAAGCCAAGCTTTGTGATTTCTAACCATCTAATTTCTAATGATATTTAATTATTTTAAACACATATATGTTTAAGACAAAAATATTGTTTATTTTCTAATTTTTTTAAATAGTTTTCCATTGATTCTTGATTAGATTAATACAACTCATGACTCTGAAACAGCTTATCTCTGTCAAAACTCAACTAACTTGTATACTTTACACAACACAATCTGAACACTTTTTAATTTATTTTGGATGGTTATAAGTTTGGATATCAAGACATGCAGTCTTACAAACAAATGCAAGTGAAATTTTCCAATTTTCCAATATGGTAAAATAGTTTACCCAAGTGTCAAACTTTCTTTCATAATATTGTTTAATCCAACAAATGATTGTATTTTATTGTATTGTATCAGAAACATCTGCCAAGGAAGGTCTTCTCCTGTGGTGTCAAAGAAAGACTGCCCCCTACAGGAATGTTAATGTCCAAAACTTCCATGTCAGGTAAGTGCTCCTCCTCAGAAGTTTAATTGCTTTATGGTGGAAGAAGTTGTTGAGGCTCTCAAACTGACTTTAAACGGCAAACTCAGCAAAACCTGAGTACTAGACAAATCCTTTCACCAAATGTTGAGGCACCAGCTGTACTTCATGTTTCACCTGGATTTAAGGAGTCTCCCTTCTTCGAACTGACATGTTGGTTCTCTCTGCTTATTGGCTGGTGAAGCTGGAAGGATGGCCTGGCATTCTGCGCCCTGATTCACAGGCACAGACCCGACCTCCTCGACTTCTCTAAGCTCAACAAGGTGTTGTGAGGTTTCACTCATAACCACTAATACCAAATTAACACACTTGCCACCGTGTGAATTGATAAAATGACACACATAATCACAACTAAATAATTTGGAACGTATCATTTAAAGCATTGAAAAACAGAGTCATATTTATATCAAATTGTGTATGCCATGTTTTTTTTAACCAAGCCCCCTTTATTCTGCTAATCACTTTCAGTGTTCACTTGCCTCCCTGTTTGACGATTTAATAAAAGTGTGATGTGATGTTTGATTCAGAGGCAATTACAAAGTGGAAGCTGAATTTGTTTGTTGAGACGGTGGTACTTTTTTATGTTTGCTTTGGCTCTTTAGTAGGCATGTGAAGAGGGATGGTTATAATGGTACTTTTATTTATTAATGTCTCGTCCTCACAGCCAAATATTTTTATCCCAGGCGCACTTAGTGCTTCATTATTCCTAAGTATAGCACTTGGATCGCATTTCAGAAACATTTAAAAGACTGCTGCTTTTTATTCTTAAACATGGTATTTTGCATCTCTTTGTGTCCTACATGTGATTGGATTTACTGGTGAGTTTAAGTGAACTCTTTCCACTGCACACGCTGAAGAGACATTCATTTAAAAAGCACATAATAATCCAGCATAGCAGTTTGCATATTTAACTTGAGTGATGTGGTTTAGTAAATGCCTAGGATTGTCTGTGGTGGTCAATAACAGGTGAGGGCCTCAGTAGGCTGCTGATTTGCTGGATAGCGTCGCTGACAGCTTATCCAGAAATATTTAAAGTGGCAAGTCTTCCTCCTCTAAGTCTAATCCTTAAAAACAGTTTATGTCCCATAAGGTCTAAAATAAAAGTTGAAATAGTGAAATTTACTTTACTCAGGCCAAATTTTGTCCTTGCAATGTAAATATATACAGGGGAACACCGTGCCTGGTTGCGAAGAGTGATATTTTCATTTGTTTTGGAAACAGAGGCACTCACTTTTCAGCACACTACTCAGTGGCGTGACATGGACATGACCCTGGACATTTCCAGAAATATGAGCACTAGTCCTTGTAGAGCTCAGGCTTAGTCTAACCTCAGTGGTCACGCAGTGTCCTGCTTAAACAGGCTTTTGCAGTCCTTTTAAATTTCAGATTGATGTCTGTGAAGTTACTTCTGTGATAAAAAAAAACTCTAAAACTCTATGATAAGTTTTAGTCACAGATACAGAAATTACTTTTTTACACAGGCTTTTTCTTACTTAGTTAATGTCTTTGACATCAATTTTAACGCACACAATCATACTTCAACTTTCTCCTCCTGCTGCCAGGAGACAACAGAGAACACACCAGTATTGTTTAGAGATTTGTGATCCAGGCAGCTGTTGAGTCTGGCTCCAGATGAGTTTATTCGTTAAGCCTGTTACAGCCTGCTGAGAAGGCTGTAGTCAGGCATACACCCTCCCACAGCAAAGGGTAGAGATATCCTTCTGGTTACCGATCCATACATCGCTCCGTTGGTTTACCGCTAATCTATATATCTGTCATCCACTGGATCTGTGAGCAGGTGGCTCTGTTGTAGGGAAGCCTTTCCTCCACCTGCTACATTTGTGGAACAGTGGTTCAGGGATGGGACAATAGAAACAGCATGACAGCATGATCTTTTTACCCCTCTGTGCTCTACTAGATGGCCCCCTTAACAGCATATTATTTGATACCTGCTGTTAGCTTTGGTAGCTTCTCCTAATTGGTTAAAAAAATACAGCATTTTCTGCAATAATTTAGCATCTGAATTATCAACAAGCCAAAATAAATAATCAATGTTTTAGATATACGATCGATTTGTCAGGCAAAATATGGTAATTTAGATTATCATCTACTTATTCGATAAGCTGAAGGCATTCATACAAGACTTAAATTCTGAAGACTTAAGTACTTATTACTTAGAATCTAAATTGTAATGGAATTCAGAATGTTTTTTGTCAGTTGAGCAGAATTTATGGATCTGATAAAAGATAATACTCTCAGACGTCTCCTTTCTGTTGATGACTTGGTTGGATTTGGTGAACTTGAATATGTCATGTCTCTAAACAATACTGGTGTGTTCTCTGTTGTCCGGTGTGGATGAGAAATTTCTTTGTACAGAAAGCACAGTGGCTTTAGTTTTGTTTCTCTGTATTAGGATGATCCACTGGGGAACCTGAACCTTGCATTTGACATCGCTGAAAAACACCTGGACATTCCCAAAATGCTGGATGCAGAAGGTAAAGTCGTTGATGAGCCCTATGTGAGTGGAAAGGTCGTGGCCCCCCCCTTCTCTCTTTATTATTTTCTTTCAAGGAGTTTTACTTTCTACTAATATGGGAAAAAATGTACTGGATTCGGTTATTTTGTGGTCAATTCCCTATGATTTCAAGCATTGCAAAGTAACTCAAGTAATAAGTCAATGTTTTGTCGACACAAAACACTGAGTTAACTTTATGAAGAACTATTTTTAAACTACTTTTCAGTGAGAAAAAAATATTTGTGTTTGCAGCCTAATCCGAAATGGTTTCCACATGGCTGAGCTATGATAAATGCCTAAAGAAGTTGATTGAAATTACATTTATATGTTTTATATGTTTCAAGAAATGTTCAGCATGGTTGAGCTCAGTGTATATGACTGTGTCTGCCACTCTGAAGAATAACCAATAACAGCACAATGTTTTGATCTTGATTTTTTTCATTGCATTTGATTAAATTTCTCTAGCATAACCAAATGGAAAATTCAGCAGAAAATTTGAATCCCTACATGAAACTGGAAATTAAGCAAGGTGTCATTTGAATCGATGTATCTCCGTCTTCTGCGATTCAGCTTGATCATAGTGTCAATATGGTCTTCTCTTTCTTTAATTTCTCATACGTCTCCCTGGAAAAGATATCATCAACACCCCCAAGCCTGATGAGAGAGCAATCATGACCTACGTGTCCTGCTTTTACCATGCTTTTGCTGGCGCTGAGCAGGTAGAGTAGTTGAATCTTTGTCATTACTTATCTATTTTTCTTTCAATCATTCTCACAGTCTGGTATAAAAACCTATTGTGAGTTGGATTTTGACACGGCATGCCGATCAGCAGATGTGCTGTGAGGACAACGGTTTTGGATTCAGTAATGAGAAGGTATCAATGGGAGGTTGTCTTGCTGTCTTATTCTGCTGATTTAGTTAACTTATTCTCTTTCCCCGTGGTCTTAGGCTGAAACAGCAGCCAACAGAATCTGCAAGGTGCTTGGCGTAAACCAAGAAAATGAAAAACTGATGGAGGAATATGAGAGACTGGCCAGTGAGGTAAATGAAACAAAAAAAAAACAATGACTTTGTGTTATGAATTAAAATTGTTGTGGTAAAAAAAATCTGCACACAAAAGCGGTAAAAGCAGCAGAGATTTTTCTTTTGTGTCTTACAATCCATGAAAAATCTCAGAATACAAGTTCCTTTTCAGTGTATTTTATTATGGAACTCTCTTGCCCCATATTGTCTTTTTTTTTTTTAAGCTGCTGGAGTGGATCCGCCGCACCACTCCCTGGCTGGAGAACCGGACCCCAGAGAAGACCATGGCAGAAATGCAGCGGAAGCTGGAGGACTTCAGGGATTATAGACGCCAGCACAAGCCCCCTAAAGTACAGGAGAAGTGCCAACTGGAGATTAACTTTAACACCCTGCAGACCAAGCTGCGCATCAGCAATCGCCCTGCTTTTATGCCCTCTGAAGGAAAGATGGTTTCTGTAAGTCACACGCTCTAATTCTTCTTTGGTTTACGGGTTCAGAACAGTGCTTTTAAATGTACACAATTCACAATAAAAAAAATCCATATGAGCAAGTTTAAAGGGGGATTTTCCACAACCATTCTGTTCACAGGACATAGCCAGTGCGTGGCAGGGTCTGGAGCAGGCTGAGAAAGGCTTTGAGGAGTGGCTCCTTACAGAGATTCGCAGGCTGGAGAGGCTGGACCACTTGGCAGAAAAGTTCCGCCAAAAAGCCACCAATCATGAAAACTGGGCCAGTGGTCAGTTTAATTTGAATGTTTAAATTATTTATACCTGCCAGTCTTTTTTTTACTGCTAAGACTGTAGTTTGGAATATTTATCTATTAATCTTGATTTATGAGGTCTTTGTTAATCTACAATCTGTAGATAAACAAAGAAATACAATCTGTATTTCTGCTTCTCAGCCAACTTTCCAGGGTTTCTTTTAACCCTGGGGTTTGTTTAGGCTTCCTAATGAGATGTAATTAAAGGTGTAGATTCTCCAGTGCAATCAACTGGTCATAGTTTGGACATTCTGTATATCTGTGATGACTAAATAAGGCCTCCATTTTGATTAAACCTATTAGTTACATTGTTCCTTTCCCTATATGATATTCAGGAAAAGAGCTGATCCTTTCCCAGAAGGACTACGAAACAGCCACCTTGATTGAAATCAAAGCCTTGCTTCGAAAACATGAGGCCTTTGAGAGTGACCTGGCAGCTCATCAGGACAGAGTGGAGCAGATTGCTGCCATTGCACAGGAACTAAAGTATGCCCTCATTGTAGCAGATGCTTACAGTTATGTTAAGACTGATAAGGGTAAAGCAAAACAAACTGCTGCATTCTGGTTTCCTTCTCTCTCTATTATTTTATTTCTGTTATTTTTAACCGCTATACAAATTGTACAGCATTTTTTGACTGTGCATATGACCATCAACAAACCTACACAGTGTTGCACTGATTTCACCAGAATCCTACACTTTGCTGGTTGAAAAACTTACCACGATCTATTCACTCACATAGTCACTGGAAAATCCGGTACATTTTTATTTCTAAGAGGTTTTGTGAGAGGTGTGGTTGACAGCCTTGCTGGAGTTTTCAATCAACTGTCAATGACACACATCTGTGAGTCGTTAACATGCCGGTCTGTGGTTGGTCTGTGAGTGTATCTGCTTCATATAAAACCGGTGCTCTGTGAAAGGTAGACATTGAATCAGCTGACAAGAATCATGGCATCCTGGGCTTTGGCAAGGTGAGCAAATAATTGATGTTTGTAATCAAAATTTCTTCTTTGTTCATGGCTTTGTCATTTTAAGTTGTTGACCATGCTATCTTTCTTTTCTAGTCAGTTGATCCTCATTTCATTAAGCTGGAATGTTTATTGCTATCCTGCTCAAGGTAAGCTCTTTTACCAAAGTTCTAAATGTGCTTGAGGTTATTCAGCCACTCTGGTTAAATTTTGTACAACCTTAACCATGTATTTATCAAATAGGATGGAACCAGCATGATTCTACTGGGGCCAGCTCCAGCATGGTGAATACTGGGCATCAAACTGACCAATATCCAGGCTTCAATCCTTGGGCCAAGCCTGCTGGACCTACTGTATCCTGGGTGGCTGCTCGGCCCCCACGAAGAGACCTGCCTAGCCAACCTCCTAACCCAGAAGGTCCTGCTGTGTCATGGGTTGTTGATGGTGTCCCTCAAATGTCAAGTTTTGCTCAAAACCCAGAGCAGTCTACCAACATGTGGATGACCAAGCCTCCCATGAC